GCTTGAGAAGCCTCGTGTGTTAGCCTCAGAGCCAGGCCAAGGCGCTGGTGGGACTGCTTCACAGCCAGCAAGGTGGTATGTCCATGGAGCACATCATCTGAGTCCTCTTCCATTGTGGCCAGAACATACCCCACAATCTTCCATTCTCATCCTCAGCAATGTAAGAGAGCTGGGGCCAGGAGAGGCCTTGGTAGAAGTGGTATTTCATCTGGTAGTGCATGGGCCAGCAGAGGAGATTGTAGTGCTGCATATTTATCAGGTCATCAGGCCTCACGCCATGCATGTTCATAACCCTGGAGAGGCTCCTGGGGTCTAGCAAGTAATGAATGTGCACACAGATGCCTAGGCTGCCAGTGCCAGCTTTGGGACTGGGGCTGAGCTAAGAACTGCTGGTGGCGTGGTGGCAGAAGTCTCCCATGCTGTTACTTTTGCTCCCGGCAGTTCTAAGCCTTATGTTTCCATATGAATTTTATGATTGTTTTGTCCATTTTATCAAATGAATGTCATTTTAATGGGGATTGTATTGAATCCGTAGATGGTTTTCCATAGCATGGCCATTTTAACAATATTAATTCTCCCAATCCATGAACATGGGATGACTTGCCGCAGTCCAGCTGGGCAAAATAACCGAGAGGTGACAAGCAACTGTGAAGGTTGAAGTGGGAACTTCTTTATTGCAGAACAGCTGAGGTATATATATATCTGATTTACATAAAGCACGACTCAATCAGCATCATCCAATCATAGCATCGCTCCCCTACAGACACAGCAATCAGCCAATAAGGAGTCCCTACCATCTTGATGGCTCGGTGGCGTTGCCTCACAAGCTACTCCTCCTGGCAAACTGCCAGGCACCATCTTAGTCGTGGCCTCCAACATCTCCCCCTTTTTGTTTTATTCAACAACAAGTATGTGGTTTAGGGACCGTGCCTATCTTGGGTTGTCTAATACTACATATGGTTCTTACCCATCATTGGATGGTCTGACCTCAAATCGTCAGCCTCCTGGTTTAGGTTGGTACCATTGTAATTGGATCTTACCCACCTTTGGCTACCGGCCCAACATATTTAGCCATACTTGTGGATCTGTATAATCTACACAAACACCATAAACAACCTGCCACAAGCAGAAGGAGGAGAATACAAAATGCCACGATACTAAGCCATTGATGACTCCAAGAGAGAAACCCTTGGAAAAATTGTACCACCAATGACACCGTTGACAAAGATACCCTGGTACTATTAAGAGTTACAATTTGTTGTCTCAATAGATTAGTTAAATTTTGAAACTTTACATTCCATGTGCCATTAAGCATGGCTCCTAGTTGTCTGGAAAGATTTTCTGCTCGAGAAATATTATCATAATGCATAGAAGTGACACACAGTCCAGGCAAGTTCCGTAAGCAGCTTAAAACAGAGGAATCCATTAATATGTCTATTCCTTCTTGAAGTAAATCGACTCTTTGGTCGAGCATCAGAATTCCATTTCTAAGATGATCATTAATAATGTTTTGTGTTTGTAAAGCTTGTGCTACTTGTTGAGTTACATTATTTATTGATGCAGCCGTTTGTACAGTTTGTGTGATAGTTATCGCAGAAGCTGTAGCAGCAGCAGCAGAAACAGCAACAGCTGTGATGATGGCAGCTGTAATTCCGAAGTCTCGTTTGGTTCTCAGTAATACTGGAAATTCTTCTATTTTTATCTTCACTGGCACTGGAATGAAGGTAGGAATTCTGGCAATGATGGCTAAAGAAAATTGTGTAGCATTCCAGCAGGCACTAAGAAAACAATTTTCTGAACAATTTAGTACATTATCCTGAACAGAATTATTAGATATAATGAAAAGGAAAGGTGAAAGTAAACAAACAGGTGTAGGTTTGAAATCTATATATTTAGTCTTATTTATTTGTACATTGGTCTCAAACGTAGTACTAGTATAATTGTAAGACCCATTAAACATCGATCCTCCTTTTATAAATCCTACAGGTGAGATATCCACAAAATGACCAAATATTAAATGGGTCTGGTGTAATGGCTTGACTAGGATTTTAATAAGTAAAATTGTTTCCTTTAAATGTTTCATTTGAAAAGGTATTAAATCTAGGAGTAAATGTAAATCCAGGAGTTAAGTAACGGCGGCGGAACCTCGTTCCAAGCAACCTGACCATGTCGGTGGCCAGGTTTTTTACATTTGAAATAGGCCTCAATGGTGCTCATTATTCATTAGCCTCCAGGTGTGGGAGAACCATTGTCGCAGATGTAAGGATAGCTAAACTGGAGTTCTGGATAACAGCTGTTATGGATTTCAGATATTGCTAACCCTGCATTTATAAAGCTCAGAAGGCTTGAGAATGGCGGGTTGCTCCCCCCCCCCGCCGCCCCCCCCCCCGGTTGTTTCCCCTCAATATCAAATTTGGACTTATAATCCTTTTGCCAAATGAAATCCCTTTTTACACTGGGGGCAGGGCATCTTGGGCGGAGTTTGACCTTTCTGAACATTTGTATCCACAGGAATAGCAGGGAGTCCTGTGGTAGCATTTGTAGTATTATAGGGAAAACTGATGATTCATTAGTTATTGGCATTGGAAATGGCCAAACTTCAGGGGCGCCAGGCGCATCCTCCACTACTGGCCACAGCATCCTGGTCCCCAGGCAGCCCCATGGCGGGGGGGCGGGGAAGGGCCAGTGGCCACAGCCGCCGCCGGCTGGAAAGTCCCTGCTGCGCCGCGACCAGCTCACGAACACGGCGGCCGCTGCACCACGCTGCTTCATGCACCCTCTGGTGACAAAAGGGGTTAGTAGCAGCCTTTTGTTGTAACTCCTTCCCTGATAGTCCTTCCTTTTCTGAACTTTCTTCCTCTTTCTGACTAGAGTTCCTGGGCTTTTATCAACGTATGCCCAAACTGTTCTTGGTTTTACTGGGGTGCCTCCTTCCTTTAGCAATTTACTTAACACCCTTTCGGTTTGAATTTTAGTAACTTCTGATCCCATATTTCCATAACAAAGACAACACACTAAGATAAAATGAAACAAAAACAAAACAAAACAAAACAAAAACACACTGTATCAATTTTTCTATTTTCTTGAAAAGGCCATCCATCCTCTCGCCCTATCTGCTCCTCAGGGGCTAGCAGCTTTCCTCCCGTCCTATCTATTTCTAGGGACAGGCAGCTTACCTTGTCACTTACCCCCAAGAGTCCCAGAGTTCCCCGTATGGGCCACCACTTGCCGCAGTCCAGCTGGGCAAAATAACCCGGAGGTGACAAGCAACTTGAAGGTTGAAGTGGGAACTGCTTTATTGCGGAACAGCTGAGGTATATATATCTAACTGATTTACATAAAGCATGACTCAATCAGCATCATCCAATCATAGCATTGCTCCCCTACAGACAGCAATCAGCCAATAAGGACTCCCCACCATCTTGATGGCTCAGTGGCATTGCCTCACAAACCACTCCTCCTGGCAAACTGCCAGGCGCCATCTTGACTTGATCGTGGCCTCCAACAATGACTTTCCATCTTCTGGGGTTTTCTTTAATTTCTTTTTTCTATGTTTTATAATTTTCATGGTAGAGATCTTTTACCTCCTTAGTTAGGTTTATTCCTAGGTATTGTGTTGTTGTTGTTGTTGTTTGAGACTATGTGAGTGACATTTTTTCCTAATTTCTTTCTCACTAAGTTCCGTGTTGGTGTATAGGAAAGCTACCAATTTATGTACCTTGATTTTGTATCCTGTTACTTTACTGAATTAATCAGTTCTAAGAGACTTCTGACAGATTTGTTAGGGTTTTCTAGATATAGAATCACATCATCTGCAAACAGGGATAATGTGACTTCCTTCTTTCCTACTGGTATTCCTTTTCTTTCTCTTATCTGATTGTTCTGGCTAGTTTCCAGTACCATATTGAATAAAAGTGGTAAGAGTAGACACCCTTGTCTCATTTCTGATTTTAGAGAAGTTTTTCCCCACTCATTTTGATGTTGGCAATGGGTATGTCTTATAAACCTTTATTATATTGAAGTATAATCCTTCTATATTTAGTTTATTCGGGGTTTTTATCATGAAGGAGCACGGAATTTTATCAAATTGTTTTGTTCACAGTAAACTAATTTTCCACAAACGTGCCAAGAAAATTCAATGGTAAAAACAAAACAGTCTTTTAAAAAATGGTGCAGGAATCATAGCTACAGGAAGAATTAAAGTTCATGACGACAAGTTATTGTTTGTTTTGAGGTCATGTATATAATTGCTTACATATGCTTTGTCATTTTAAAATTTCCCTCCATATTTTCATCTCACTAGGTAGAGTGCCTGTGATGTGTAATAGTATGGCTTAATGCTTATTTAAAAAGAAAACAGTTTTTTATTTGTGAAGATAAATTTCTGGATTGGCAGGAGATTTCATTTTTACTTTTTTTCCAACAATTACCATGATGTGTTTTTAAGTAAAACACAAATTGCAGAGCAATATATGTGATGTACCTACTTAGAGCACAGTATTCTTTAATTTAAAATATATAAAATAATATGTCTGGAAATATCTATATTAAGTTGTTTATAAAGAATTGGAGAGAAAAGGAGAAACTCTAGTTTTTATTTCATATATATCTGTAACATTTTTATAAAGAATATATTATCTTATGAGAAAAGTTTGTAAAATAACTCATGTGAAGTTCTCAATATTTTTGTTCACATTAAAAATATTTTTTAGGGCTGGGGTTGTGGCTTAGCGGTAGAGCATTCACCTAGCACACACAAGGCGCTGGGTTCGATCCTCAGCATCACATAAAAATAAATAAATAAAATAAAAGTATTGTGTCCAACTACAACAAAAAAAAATATTTTAAAAATATTTTTTAAATGAAACTCTTTTCTCCTAAAATGATGCTACTGATATTTTTTACTTAAAGGAAATTTATATGAATGGTGTAGCTTTCAAGTTTGTATTCTTTGTAAACAGGTAATGAATAACTTGAATTTGGATATGCAGGCATCTTACCTGGACAGTGAATGAAAGACCAGTTGTATCTGCTGTCCTCCAGACACATGCTGGAATTCAGAAGGGGCTGTGGATAGGCAGTTCCAGCAGAGGCCTGTGGAGGCATCTTCACTGGTCCTTTGTAGGATCCCTCCATGCATTTCCCTTTCCCAGTGTTGTTGGGATCAGTACACCAGCCACAGCCTGGCTGCTCCAAGCAATGACTGCAGGTGCAATAGCCTGAACAATCTTCAGCTATTAAAAGAACAAACAGTAAACAATTCACTATCAGGTAGAACTAAAGTTATTATCTTTAAATAACCTTTTTTTTTAACAGACTAACTTAAATCCAAATTACTACTCTAGAGTGACCATTTTAAGTGAGATAATGAATTTAAAGAGCTCAATAATTTGCCCAACACATCAGAGGGGTCCCTCTTTCCTCTCTTAATCCCAGGATGGTGAAGGCAAAAGGAACCTCAGAGGGCCTCTACCAGAGAGCAATTATTTTATAAATTAGGAAAGTAGGAGGCAGAGACATTACACAGATTGAATAATATAACTGTGAAGTTGAAGAGTTAATTTCTGTATTCTGTGATCTATCCTAGATTTACTTGATTTATTTACATTTATCACTGTTCAATTCTGTATGCAGGTTCTCATCATGCAGGACTAGATGACTTGAGTAGAAGGTCAAATCCAACTAGCCCATAAAATGTTCAAAGATTATGAACACTGCCCCATGCCACAGTTGTCAACACAATTGTCACCAATGCCAGGCACTCAAGAGTGCCAGAACTCCCTTTTGCACTCACCGGGGCAGCTGCTCATGGTATACCACTCCATACACTGGCCGAAAGGGAAGGAGGCCACGTAGGCGTTGGAGTCCACACACTGCTTCATGTTGCTGCACCACATGCACTCAGAGCTGCTGCTGGTGCACTCCCCACACGCAGTCCGCAAGGCACACGGCGTCCGGCATTGCTTGGCACTGTGGTTTGCTGGGAATTAAACCCAAGAGGGACATTTAAGACCTCCCATTATGTCAGCTAAGGTCAGAGCCATTTCAAATATTGGTTTGTAGCCCAACAGTGTGCCATGAACTCAATTCAGGCACTACATGACACAGTGAAAACAGATCATATTGGAGCCATCATGTACTACTTAGTCAAGGTATTAACACACTCGGGGAGGAAATGGACCTTCTATTCAGAGAGCATTGAGGACAAAGGTGAAAGAACAAGAGAATCTTTCAACAAAAGCAGAGTCTTACATAAGGGGACCCTGAAGGAATTTTACAATCCACCTGAACATGTAAAACCCTATGTTTATGAATTTGAGTGTAAGTAGGATCACAGCAGTCATTAAATTCATCAAAGCATTCTGCATTCAAAAAGGCTGAAAAGCTCACCTACAATTTAGAAACCTTGTTTTAAGATAACTTCTACAATGCTATGGATTATCTTCTATACTTCTGCATTCCTCAAATACAGTACCTTCCAAAAACTGAACAGGATTTTAACTAAATCACCAACAACTCTACCTATTACTGTTAAGCCCCCATCTGTGTGCTACAGAGGCTGCCCCTGTATCTGCCACCATGGAGCCTAAACTTAGCCCCCAGAAACATGCAAACTGAGAAACTGCTCAAAACATTTGATGGTTCAGTACTCAGCCACAGCTCTTACATGGTTCTAACTGGCTTCTGTCTCCTGTCACAGACCTCTCCTCATTTTCCTCCTCACTGACACTAGCTTCCTGAATACTGTCTTATGGTGACTTGCTTGCTTTTCTCATCTTTGGTTTTTATTTTCCTTCCACAGCATTTTTCTGCCACCAAGATATTTGCCCTTCAGAGCAATTCTAAACATTCTTTGTGCTCAACAAACCAATCAATCACAATGCTAGTCAGAATATTAGGTTCTTTGTGTAACATTTTATTTTTGGCTTTGCTTATGGCTCAACGTAGAGCCACAGACTATTTCCTTCTGCTTTTAAAATTCTAGGTATTGCTTGAAATATGCCTGAAATTAGCTCTCCATCTGTTTTCAAGATCATTTTATGCATGTCAATACTTAACCTGCCTCCTTTCTGAAACTTCCTGGAGCCTATCACCAGTGTCCTTATCAGGCCGTTCACAGATGCTGCCATTGAGGGGGTTGATGCAGGTTGCAGCCTTTAATCCCCGAACAGTGGGTTCTGACAAGATTCCACAGAACCCAGCATCGCTGGGCTCAGATGGCATCCACTGTAGTAAACTATTTGTAAATGGAGTCATATCTTCCCAGAACCAGTGGGTCATGTTGCTCTTCCGAAGGTCAACCCATGGGGTTAAGGTGAGCTTGGACTGTGGGCAAAACAGACACAATTATGAAAACAACCAATGTCTCGACCAAACAGGCTACTTGATAAAACCCACTAAGTTAGGTACACCCACAGGTACAGGAAAGCCTCCTTATACCCTAAACTCAGGCATTGGTATAGATCACCACTTCTAATATGGGCCATTTTACAAAGGACAAATATAAAGCTTAGAGACAAGAGGTATCAAAATTTTCATAGAGATCTACATCCAAAGTGATAATCAAGTTCCAAAATTTCTAAGCTCTGTGATAAATGCTATGAAGAAATGGTCATCACCCCACACTGGGTTTAAATGCCCATTCACACATGAAGTCATTTCCCCAACATTTATAAAATATTGGTTATATGTCTATCCTCAGATCAGAAGCTAAGCATTGTGTGATGGTTGCCACTATCAACTAACTGATATCCATCACCTCTCATATTTACTATTGCAGGACCATATGTATGTGTATGTAGTGAGAACATGTAACATCTATGTCCTGAACAAATATTAAGTATATGATACTTAACTATTATCACTATAGCATATATTAGATCTCTAGAACTTATTCATCTTATGTAAAAAAAGGCTTTGGACATTTTGATCACCATGTTCCCATTTCTCACCCCACTTCTCAAGGCCTGGAAACCACCATTGTGCTCTTTGCTTCTGTGAATTAGACATTTTTTGATTCTACATATAAGCAGGGTCATGTTGTATTTATCTCTCTGGGACCAGCTTATTTCGCTCAGTGTAAGATCCTCCACATCCATCTGTGTGGTTGCTAATGACAGTATTTCCTTCTTTTGAAAGGATGAATCATAATCCTCTGTCTATCCCCAGATCAGACAGTGTTTACTGCCTTTTTAAATCTATTGCTTCATTTGGTACAGGATTTTATAAAGAATAAAAGAGCAGTGAACACCTAGGATGGTTTTTGTCTCCTATTCTCCTAAAATTTCCTTGCCATTGTGCTTTAAAAATTTTTTTTTAATTAAGTATAATTTTGAACCCAGAAATGAAAGGTATTCGTAATTTTTGCAGTTGAAAAACAAAATATACAATGTATTTTCATTTTTGAGAGGAAAAATACATATACTATTAAAAGACCTGAAATAAATAAATACATTCCAAAAGAGTTTTTAGTGGTATTAACAAACATTATTTGTTTTCTTACTCTTTTATTAGCATTTTCTAAATTTCTTTTAAATGTGTGTTTTTAAAAAAGAAACATATTTTTAACAGATACACTTTATAAGTCTTTTCATAATGTCTTTTTGCTTTCCTGATAAAATGCAGGGCCATTAGCATTGTGGACAAGGTATCTCTGGATTTGGCTGTGGGCCCTTCTTGAAGCCCAGCTACAGCATCTTTCTCCCATCCAACCTGCCCCAGCCACACAAGCTAATCTGCAGCTCACTCAGTGAGCGATTCCCTCAAACTCTATGCCTTGTATGGGAGGGTATCAGCGCACAGGGAGCCCGTCCTTCTTCCCTTTCCATCCATTCCTTCCCACCTTCAGAGTTACCTCTTCCCAGCTCTACCAGACAGCCTCTATCCTATCTTGCTTTTTTCATACACAACTGGGCTCTACAGACTGGGCCACATCTGGAGTTTAACCTATGGGGAGCACATTACACTAGTTGTTTTATCTGTTAGCCTTTTCATAAGAGTGTGGGGTTCTGTTTTTGAAAAGTGCCACCCAGAACCTGTTAGGGATAAAACACTTGAAGAAGAGGAGAGAGGGAACAGAGGTACATCTGTGGCCAGCTGGCATAGTGGAGCCTTTTTACCCACGTAGTCTCCCGCAGAGGTGGACTTGACAGTCACCAGTTGAAATCCCAGCATGATGGGCAGAGCTGACTCTACCAGTGAAGAAAACGTGAGCCTTTCTGAGCTCAGAAACCCTTCATAAGAAGATGCCCTCTTTTGTTGGGCTGCCAGGTCTAGAAAGACCCAAACAGATATAAATGTCTTAGTGGTGGTGACAACATATACTAAAATAATACCTTAAATCTAAAGGACATAAGTGTTTAAATATGACACCTAATTAGCTGTAATCCCATTGCTCTCTACTCCAGCAGAATCTAGAGATAAAATAGGTATGGAATTATCTAGTGATGTCACCAGACTATGTGCACAAACACACACACATCACTGTTCATCTTACATATTACTTTTCATGTTATACTAAATATGACTTATGAAAATGTATGAAGTATTAAAAGTTTCAAGGTCAGGTAAAAACCATTAAAGGAAGAGACTGACCTTCCTTTAATGCCACATCTACTACGCCACGCATCCTGGCCTTCCTCCTCTTCCCAGCACGTCCTCACCCACAGCCTTCCATGCACCAGCTGTGGTCATGCCCTTAGCAGAAAAGTGGGTACGAGACACTTAAGTTCTGAGGATTCACTCACCATGCTCTGTGATGGCTGCATTATTTGCAGCTGCTTAAGGACAAATTCCACTTTCTTCTGGGTTGTAAGGGAAGCCAAAAAGGCATTGTGGTTCCTACAGTACAGTTTAGCATTGTCATAATTCCCCTTGGCAGTAGTAATTTTCAAACACGAGTTTCCAACCAAATGCCAGCCAACGCCACAGATATTTTCTTTAACAAAGGGGGAGAGAAAAAACAGCTTTAGAAATTACACAAAACTACTATATACCTAGTTCAAGTTCCTGAACATCTAAATGATCCTTGAGATTGAATTCTAGGTGCTTCATTAAGAATGTGGCAAGGGCAAGAGACACATTATTCACTTCCAGACACAGAATGCAAGAGATAAGTTTGTCAGTCTTATTTATTGGATCTCATGAAGTATATTCTGAAGTCAACTCTCTAGTCACTTGGAGGAAAACCCATTTAGTGTCAATACTTGGTGGCAGATCTTTTAGAAGAACAATTAGAAAGACTAACTCCTGAGCGGAGAGCAGACAGATGAATGTGACAATGGAAAGGTGGAGTACAGAACAGCAAACATGGAAATGAGTTTGGGAATGAATAAATCTAAAGTCTTCAAATGCTGCACTGTTTTCATATCATCGTGTACAAGTTAAAATGAAGACTCTAGGGCCCCACCCCAGGCCTGTACCAGAACATGCCTTTTGGAAAGATCCTCAGGGGTTTTGCTATACATGAATGTCTGAGACTCAGAACAAGAGTAAACAAACAAGAAGCCCATTCTGCAAGCTGAACTGCATTACTCCAAAGGACACTCAAAAGGGCCCTGGTCCAGCTCAAGTGGCCTGCTTATGTCTCAGCTGTTACACAGTGCCACAAAACTCCCCATTCCTGGACATCTGGTTGGAGCAAATATATCAGGGTTTCAGTCATGGATGGCCACCCCAAAGTCATCACCTTAAACCTCAGGATGCCATAAACAGGTACTCAGGACTGGCGGTCACCTCAGAGTTGCTGCTAACACAGAAATCTGCCTCTCCCTCTGCTCAGAGAAGCCCCCCAAGAGGTGCCAACAACCAAATCCCCATGTTCAGTAACACTCTTCCATACAGTGCCCAGAAATCTGGCAGCTGAGACTACAGAATTCTAGTCCCGGTTATCACAGCCAGGTGGGTGTCAAGAGAGGGAGCAGGTTCACCGACATGAACCCAGAATCATTTCATTCTCCAGAGGAGCAGATGATGCTAGACTTTATGTCAAGAACAGTCAGAGTGTATACTTAAGACTTGAATTTTAGGTTAAAAAACAAAAACAAAACACTTGGGCTGGGGATGTGGCTCAAGCGTAGTGCGCTCGCCTGGCATGCGTGCAGCCCGGGTTTGATCCTCAGCACCACATACAAACAAAAGATGTTGTGTCCGCCGAAAACTAAAAATTAAATATTAAAAATTCTCTCTCTCTCTTTAAAACAAAACAAAACAAAACACTGGTGATAGGGATGAATTGATAGAATAGGCCCCTCCTCGCTGTTAGGTTACAACCCAGTCTGCGTAAGATTCAGGGAGCAGACAAAGTTCTGGACCCATTCCCCAGGTGCCTAGCAAGGCTTACCAGGCAGGGAGATGCACTCTTGATTCTGGGGATCCCACTGGCACTTCTGGTCCAGGTCACAGCTCCTATAGCTGGTCTTCTTGACACAACTGTACTTAGGGTTATCCTTGGGGCAATTCTCATATGTAGAAATGGAAATCTAGAAAGTAGAACATATTCAAAGTAGAACATATTCATAGAGATAACTCATGGTGGTGACCAATAGTTGTAAAGACTAAATCTAATTGAGGATGCAAACTTCAAATAAAGAGATAAATAAAATGCAGATGAACAGCTCTGTGGTGGAAACACTGTAGTAGAATGTTCTGCTCAAGAAAATGCCTTTAACTGGCAAGGAAGCAGCCTACTCTTTTAAACAGCATCCCTCAAATTGCTCATTGGTAAAATGGGGCTGTGGAACACACTGCTTTTCAAATGCCTCCTACAGTCTAAAGTTTGCTTATAAACAGCAATAAACTGACAAAAGTATAAAGGCTGGGTCATCTTATCTTCTTTGGTCTTAGTGTAACCTAAATTTTTAAAACCATTTACGGGGAGCACCGAAATTATGCTGAGCCAAGATATAACATAAATAAAGGAGAATTTGCAAAGCCTATCCATTCCCCAATTCAATATGGACCACGACACACCTGCCTGAAGCCCAAACCTTCTCCCAAGAACTCACACAGATTGAGTGAGCTCGTTGTCACAAGCCTCAGACTAAGGATCGGGTACTTCAACATAGCTACACCCAGGGACATAGTCCCCAGACCACAGTCCTACCTTCTTTTAAATCACCACACACAAATTCCCGGGGCTAGCGAGACCCTTGAATCAGGATGTATTCAGCATCCTTTCCTAATAGAAAACCTGATCTAAAACAAAAATCCAAATCTACATCCATTAAAAAAAAAATCCAGCCCAACTATTATGTATAATTATAATGTATTAATAAAAGAAAAAATATTGAAAACAAACCAATATGGGCCATTATATATGCCATATATTCAACCTACACCTAAACACAATTAGAATATTTTTATCCTCTGAAATCCTTGAGAGATGACCCCTGACCTGGTCTTCCATGCAGCTGAGATGAATAGGGACACAATGGTCATTGCACCAGTGGCAGTCATTGGTGTTGGCCGTGCAGCTGTAACAATCCATGTGCTGGTCACATCTGTCATGGTCAAGGGCTAGGAAGAGAAGAAACATCAACTGTGACAGCTTCTACTAAGCACAATCTGAAATGGGTTAAAAAAAAAAAAAAAAACCCTAACAATGTCTGGGAAAGAAAATAAAGTCTGAAACTGGAAAGAAAATGTATTGGGATGTTCTGGTTAAATAGGACTTAGAGCCAGGCACAGTGGCATATGCCTGTAATCCCAGAGTCTTGGGAGGCTGAGACAGGAGGATCAAGATTTCAAAGCCAGCCTCAGCAAAAGCGAGGCACTAGGCAACTTGGTGAGACCCTATCTCTAAATAAAATACAAAATAGGGCTGGAGATGTAGCTCAGCGGTCAAGTGCCCCTGAATTCAATCCTTAGTAACTCCCCAAAACAAACAAACAAAAACAAATAAATAAGACTTGAGACAATCTGAAGAAACGCTGTTTTTCACTTAAAAAGATTAAACAGGAAGTAAAAAGCAAAAATAAGTTCATTTAACAAGTCTAAGAATGGAAATAAGATCTGGGCATTTGAATATTTTTTTCCTAAGAAAAACCAACTAGAATAGAATAAACACCAGAAACTGCCCAGGAGCCAAAAAAAATTACAAAGGAGACTAATCCATTCCTCCAGTTACAAACACCAAAGCTCATTTTGAGCACAGGCAGCAGGCAGTGCCTGGACCCCAAGGCAAGTGTGAACTGAGTCATGCTGCACTGATTTCCACAATGCAAGCTGCAGAACGCTGGGGTGACTGCAGACCTGGTGCACTTCCTGTTGACCCCAGAAAAGAGAAGCTGCACCACCATGCTGCCTCATCTGCTGAACCACCTATTAGACACCGCACATGGTGAAACCCAGAAAGTGTAAATGGAGGGGCATTGGGGTGGTGGCTCAGTGGTAGAGCACTTGCCTAGCATGTGTGAGGCACTGGGTTCGATCCTCAGCACCACATAAAAAATATAAATAAGTAAATAAATAAAGGTATTGTGTCCATCTACAACTAAAAAAATATGTAAAATAAAAAGAGTAAATGGGAGGGTCCGTGGCCCACCCTCTCAAAGGCCCCAGCAGTATACCCCTTAGGTTGCTCTTCCTTCTCTTGTCATCATCAAAGGATTACGACCACCTCTGCACAGAGTGGAGTGAAACAGGGAGTTGATACTGCACATGAGATGACAGGAAATGGGCGCATACTGAATCATCTAAGATAATTCAACATTATTTCCCATGTACACTTGCCCACATTTAATTTGAACATTTAAAATTTTGGTTAAAAATAACTGTTGCACTGATTTTATCCTTTTTAGGAGAAAATGACTAATCCCACAGTGTTCTGGTAATTCTGTTCTCCATCAATGAACTTGGTTGCCTGGGTGTTCTTACTAAGGATTTATGTTGCTGCAAGATTAATTTGGAGCATCCCAGGAGAATACAAGCTGCCTCTCTCCATCTTAATGGTCACAATAATGGCAACACCCATCCTGCTAGCCATGGAATTCAGTCAACATATTAACTGATGTGAACAAATATTTTGCAGAGACATCCTTCTTATTTAGAAAGGACTTTCTCACACATTTCTTCACTGCTGTTCTGTACTGCATGTCAGAGCAAAAGGGCAAGAAGCTAAGCAGACAAGGTGAAGAAAACAGCTTAGAAAACATGAGGGGAGCTTCTAGAAGTGGGGATCATTGTTCATCCTCAGCAACTGTCTGTCTTGTTCTCACTGCTGTATCCAATTAAAAGAGCTAGAAAATAGTTGGTGAGGATGGCAACTCCTCTATCTACAAACTTTACTTATTTATATTTTTTATCTATCTACAATAGGCTTTTCTAGGTTGGCCTTCCTATTCTCATCCTTAATGTCAGACCTCCACAATCCAATATGGTAGCCAGGAGCTAAATAAAAATTCAGCTCCTCAGGCACACTAGCCACCTTTCCAGTGTCTGAGATTCCCATGTGGCTAAGTAGCTACCAGACTAGAACAGGGCATGTATGCAATATTTCCATTATCAAAACAAGTTCCATTGGATAGCACTGCCTTGGACCAACTACAGTCAGGTCTTGGAGCTGCTGGATAAAGCCTATGGCATGCCAAGAAGGTTGTGTCCCTATCATTCACAGACAGCTTCTAGGAGCTACATGACATATGTAAAGATGTTTACAAACCAATATTCAAACACCAATATTCAAAAACCAATATTCAAACAGGCTTTGCACAAGTTATTACTAAACTAGTATAGATAATAAGGTGAACATAAGAAGTGTACAAATGCTAAGTGTCTTCATAATTCTGATCAAATGAGATTTCTAATTAAATTCTAAGTAGAGGAAAAACTCACTTGTTTGGGGAAAACATTCTGATTTTAACTTTTCTGCTTGTTCTTCAGTTGCCAGCTCCCAGGAGATGCACTGAGATGACCCTGTGTCCCACACACAGCGGACACCGGGTCCTGCTGCCACACAAGCAGCTTCACTCTGATGTGCTTCACATTGTTCTGAGGTGAATACCAGGATGTCACTGAGGAGGAGACTGTTGAAACCACCAAACAAATACATGGTGCTGGGGGAAAAAGGGAGAGAATGAATTTACTGAAAACATATGTTACAAATGCATGATACACTTTTACAGACAAATTTCAGATAAATCTTACATATCAAAAGTCCTCTAAGAAACTATTTTTCAAGGTTTAGAAATCAGTATAATTCTCTTACCTACCAAATTTTACCTTTTCATCCTGACCTGTGATCGTCAGAATAGTTTCAATAAACCACCTAAAAGCTGCACATGGCAATTTAGTATACAGTGAATGTTACATCTTAAATTAGTAGGGAAAAGATGGACTTTTCAGTAAATGGTTTCAAGATAACTAAACATATGAAAAAGATAAAACTGAAGCCCTTTCTCACTCTATATACCAGGATAAATTCCAAAGGGATCAGAGATTCACCTGAAAAAAGAAATAACATAAGTTCTAGAAGAAAAAATGGGCAACTTTTCTATAACCTGAGAGTAGGAAAAACCTCCATATGACTTAAAATCCAAAAGGTAGGAGAGAATTAATATAGAGAGTGCTTGAGTAACTTTATAGGTAAAAAATAGAAAATTACATTAAGCACATTAAGAGGAGATATGCTCAATATTAGTCACAAGAGAAATTCAAACTAAAACTATAATTATGTAGCATGTTTCATCTATCAGATTTGCAAAGAAAAATACCACAAAGATGGGTAAGGATGTGGGCCAACAGACATATGCATACTCTGCTGTTGGGCTTGTAAAATAGTACTAACCTACAGAGAGGAATTTGTCAATTTCTAACAAAATTACCATTTACCTTCTGAACCTGAAATCACTTTTCTAGAGGTCTATTACAAAGATATTATAGCAAAAAAAAGAAAGAAAGAAAGACAGACACATGAAGCAATTCATTAAATGATTGTAATAATAATAGGAAAAGATTCTAACAAACCAAAATGTCTATCAACTGGGATGTGAAGAATAAGCTATGATACACCCACATGATGAAACACTAGGCATCTGTAAAAAGGAATGAGGAAATTTCTATACATTCCTTCTGAAGTGATCTTCAATATATATTATATGGGGAGGGGGAGCCATGCAGAGAATAGCATATAGAGTATGTGGTCATTAATCTATTGAGGGAAGAAGTGGATCAAACACACAAGCACATAGAATTCTCTCTTTTTTAAATTTTTATTTTTTAGCTTTAGGTGGACACAATATCTTTATTTTATTTTTATGTGGTGCTGAGGATCGAACCCAGTGCCTCACGCATGCTAGGCAAGCGCACTACTACTTGAGTCATATCCCTCTTTTTTTTTTTTTTAAAGAAAAATAAGAACCACACAATTTCTCTTTAAGTAGTCTTAAAAAACCAACCCAGTAGCACTGAATATGACCATGACTTAGATTGTGGTATTTAAAAACCATTCTCCTTGACCCACCCTAATTAGAAAAAAAATCTAATGTCATGTCTGGATAAAGAAATGCTCATAGTGAAATTTGTAAGATCTTCTTAGACCAGAAAGACAGACTAAGGTAGTGTCACAAAGACTCAAGAGCTACCATGAAGAGGTGCTCACTGGCCGCAGAGGGGAAGTATTTGAAACTTAATAAGAATAATAATTACAATTCACAATAGCCAAGTCATGCCTAGAAGCCTATTAACAGACAAATGTATAAAGAAAATGTGGTATATCTACATAATTGAATTTTACTCAGCCATAAAGAAGAAGGCAATTATGTTATTTACTAGTAAATAGACAGAACTGGAAAACATCACGCTAAGTGAAATAAACCAGATTCAGAAAGTCAAAAGTTGAATGTTTTCTCTCATTTGTGGAAGCTAGAGAGAAAAAAGGAATAAAAAAGGGGGACCGCATGAAAACAGAAGGGTGAACAGTGGAGAAAAGGAAGGGGATTGATGGGGAGGGAGGAAGGATGGAAAAGGGAAGGAACTTCAGAATGAAATTAACCAAATTATGTGCACATATGAATGTATCACAATGAATTCCATTTTTATGTATAATTTTAATGCACCAATAAAAAATAGATAACTAGAGGGAAGACCAGTAGAGGAAGGAGACCAGGGAGGGAGGAAGAGGAAAGGGAGACATATTGAAGTGGAGCAAATTATGTTACATGCAAACATGGATGTCAAAATGAACCCCACTATTATGTGTGACTATAATGCCCTGGTAAAAACATAAAAGTAAAAAAATATATATACTTTTAAAAGAGGAATTACAAAGCATATGATTCTTTTTAAACCTTGAGTTCACTATAATACATATCTCCTAACCCAAAAGATAAAACTTCATTTTTCATGTGTGGACAATGCAAAGAAAACAGTTCATTATTTTCAAAATTGGTAAATAAAGAGAAACAATCAACCTTATGAAGTGGTCTTGCCATAATCACGAAGTGAATCTGACTGTGCTAATTTGCGGGAAGTTCAGGTGAGATACTGATGTAGGTCAGCTGAGGCTGGCACCTGAGGAATTAGCAGGAAGCAGATTTATTGGCTGCAGGGTCCAGAGGGGCTATTGCCTAACGCTCTCCAGACCAGGAGCCTAGAAATTCTTTGAACTTTACACCCAGAGGTGGGTGTGGGATTGGAGGTTCACATTTTTGCTAGATTCTACATAAAAGTAATTTTTTTCCTTTGAGTTCTCAGAAAGTGCTTTTTGTCTTGTTTTTTAGAACAGTCAGAGGTTTACACATTTTACCACAAAAGCAGGAATAACATCATCAAGTCCACAGTTAAACTTAGCTTTTGCAAGACAGAGGAACAGGAAATAGAAAGTTCTAACTACACTGAGCTCTTTTGCAGAAATCTTTATTGATGTTCTGTTAATAAGAGCAATTATGGTGAGGGTCTCTGAAGAAGCTTAATTAAGATGCATTGGTGGAGGAAAAGCACCACTACAATACCAATATATATTTGAAAGCATGCAGATGTAACCATCAAAATCTCAACTATAAGAAACTCTATAGGGCCGGGCATGGTGGTGCATGCCTATAATCCCAACAGCTAGGGAGGCTGAGGCAGAAGGATCTCAAGTTCAAAGCCAGCCTCAGCAAAAGCAAGGCACAGAGCAACTCAGTGAAACCCTGACTCTAAATAAAACACAAAATAGGGCTAGGGGTGTTGGCTAAGTGGTTGAGTACCCCTGAGTTAAATCCCTTGAACCAAAAAAATAAAAATAAAAAGAGAGAGAGAGAGAGAGAGAGAGAGAAAACTCTAGGAAAGGCAGCAGAACACATCAGACACTAGTATGGCAATATGTAAAACAGTGGATGTGGTAACCGATGTGATTCTGCAATCTGTATACGGGGTAAAAATGGGAGTTCATAACCCACTTGAATCAAATGTATGAAATATGATATGTCAAGAACTATGTAATGTTTTGAACAACCAATAATAAAAATTAAAAAAAAACTCTCGAGTTTCTCTAGCAAACACAATCTCTAGCAAATAAAGGGAAACATCACAGCGGGGAGCCTGTATATCAAGAGAAATTAAAAGACATTTTATGTAACATACAGATCTTGTTTAGATGCTGATTTGAACAAATAAAATTTTTAAAAATTATGAGACATTTTGGAAATTGAATATTGAATGGACATTGAATGATGTTAAAGAATTATGATTAGCTTTAAAAATATGATGTGTGTAGTGGCTGTGTTTTTAAAAGTCTTTCAAAAAATGGAGTCAATTTTCCTTATTTGCAGATTCTGTGTTTGTGAATTTACCTGTGTTCTAAAATTTATTTCTAACTCCAAAATCAATACTTTGCAGCCATTTATGGTCACTTGCAGGCATGTGCATGCAGAGTGGTAGAACATTTGAATTGAGAAACATACATATTCCAGCTCAGCTCAAACAAAGCAGTGCTCTGACTTCTTGTCTCAGCTCTCATACTGTAACAAGTGTCCCTTTCATGGTTTACTTAGTGTCCCCTTCTTGAGTTTTTGTGCTGGTGATTTCATTGTTTACAACGACCCCTAGTGCAGTGCTCAAGTGCTGTCTCCTGTTCTAAGCTGTGATGTGCCTTTGTGGAGGAAATATGTGTATTAAATAAACCTTATTTAGACGTGAGTCAAAGTGCTGTTGACCGCGAGCTCAAAGGTAAGAAATCAGCAATATATTGTGTTTAAAGAGAAACACACATTGAACAGGATTATGTATTGACTGGTTTAGGAAAATGTTGTGCTGAGAAGGCCCGCAGAAACCTAACCCTGCGTATCCTCTAGGAGCAGAGATTCAATATTCACTAATTCATTGTGTGCAGTACTTTACAGAACATAACCACTGTGAATAATGAAAACCAACTGTAATCTGAAATATTTACTTGTGAAATCCTATTGTGCTAGAAAACTGCTTCCAAATAAGATGGACAGGTTCAGGATGGCCACAGGTTGATGACTGCTAATGCAGAGTAAGGGGCACATGGGGCTTAATTATGCTATTATCTCTACTTTTTTATATCTTTTCACAACAAATTTTCACAACAAAAAGTTTTAATCTTTTTGGGAAAAAAGAATTTTGCTTAAGTCTCTTCTATTTCAAGGTTTACATTACATTTCTAGCATTAACTAATATTACAAGTGGGCCTATTCTTTCCTGTGTATGATCTCTTCCATTTAATTCTATTTCAGTCTAAAGGTAGATCATGATTTATATGATCATTTATAATATCTATCTCTAAAAAGAACAAAGCTCAAATCATGCTATCCATTTACTCAGAAATATCTATTGAGCATCCATTCTGTACAAAAATACCTTGGCCCCTGGTCCTTCAGCCTAGAGAGCTGCCCAAAGGTCAGTTCCACCTCTGCTGCCCCAGCTGGATGAGCCAAATCTCAGGCTGAAGCAGCTTGGTCTACCTCCTTGAACTTTATTCATCTCTTAGTTTCTGCCCTTTGTTTCCTCAGTATCTTGTTATGTCTTTGCTGCACATCTTTTAGTTGTCTTTCAGTGAAAGAAAGTCCCAGAACTGAACACCAAAGGCTCACATCAAGGTTTTAGGGCTTTTAAATCAAGCCCAAATCTCCCTCAGGGACATGGTGATCATGTTACCATATGGGGGTTAGAGAAGGTATTTCCAGAGGTAATAAGACCTCTACTCAGACCTTCTATGTTCTTGACTTGTTGTGGAAAAGAACTTAAAGATGAGTGAAGTCTCAGTAGCAAAGAAGGAAATTTATTACAGAAATTTAAGTATACATTCTCAGGGTGTGGGCTTTGAATATATTCCCCCGAATCACAAATAAACACAACAGCAAATAGTGGATACTTAATGGCTGCAAGTGTTTAAGCACAAACATTGAGTAAACATTGGCTGAACACTAAGACATGCTTTTTGGGGGTCTTGGGTCCTTCTTTTAAAGAAAAATTTTATGGGTATGGGAAGGCATGTGAGCTTCGGGAATTCAATTTTTTGGTGATGGATCTCAAGACGTTTACAGTGGTCTGGTCTGCTTCAGGATCTTCTAGATTGACACTCTCTTCTCTGATTAATAGGTAAAGTCTGGATTATATCCAAATGATAGGTTTCTTATAATACATCTCACTTTTGGTTGTCTAATCTAGAAAGACACTGTAAGTCCGCTAACAGTGCACATAAGCATTAAAGCAAGGCAATTTTCACAGATGAGGGAAATGGCAGTAACTTTAAGACTTACAGATTTCTCAAGAATTTGGGAGTGACAGGCCAGGAAGAAGGGCAGGACTTGGAAGGAAAAGTATTAATAACTCCATTCACGGGGCTTTTATATTTAAGCTGCAGATTTTCTTTCCATTCATTTTCTCTCCTTTCTACCCATCTATTATTTCTTCTATACAACCTCAATCATAGTGCACTTTAATAAGATTTCACATCTCTAGTAGTGTAATGGCTGAGTGTCTACATAAGGCTTTAATAACATGCAGAAGATAACAGAGAAGGCAGCCCTGTCTATCCATTCACACCCAACTGAATGTCAGACCTTGAAAATGCAAAAAAAGTAAAAGCTAGACCACATTTGTAAACTTCCAAAACTTTGAATATATTCCCCCAAATCACAAATAAACACAACAGTAAATAGTGGATACTTAATGGCTGCAAGTGTTTAAGCACAAACATTGAGTAAACATTGGCTGAACACTAAACTACACTGATCTGGCAGCAATCCAAAGGGATTAAAATTAAAATTAAAAACAGAAGAAAACAAATGAGCATAAAAATTAAAATTAAAAACAGGAGAAAACAACTGAGCATAAAAATTAAAATTAAAAACAGGAGAAAACAACTGAGCATAAAAATCAGCAATGGCACACTGTGGAAGGAAGAGAATCCATAAAATTAAATTATACAAAAGCCCTAAATAAACAGCAACAACCCCTGGTGGTGGTGGTAGAGGAATCCGGATCCAGACTTATTTTAATATATTATTTAAGATGTTACATTTTCAACAAAATATGCAAACAAAGGAAAATATGTGACCAATACAGAGGAAACAAGAGACAGTAAAAACATTTCTGAGAGGGTCCACATGTTGAATTCAGGAGATCAACGCTTCAAAACAGCTAGTATATATTTAAGGAAGTAAAAAAAAAAAAACTGTCTAAAGAATTAAATGAAAGCATGACATTAATAGCTTAACAGAGAATAGCAATAAAGAGACATACATGGAACTCACATGTTTCTTATTTTTGTATTTTAGTAGGTTTTAAAATCAGAACTGAATTTGATTTCCAGTAGGAGAGAAGTACTTTTTGGGGAGTGGGGTACTGGGATTGGCTTAGGGGCACTCGACCACTGAGCCACATTCCCAGCCCTATTTTATATTTTATTTAGAGACAGAGTCTCAATGAATTGTTTAGGGCCTCACTTTTGCTGAAGCTGGCTTTGAACTTGTGATCCTCTTGCCTCAGCCTCTTGAGCTGCTGGGATTACAGATGTGCACCACTGTGCCTGGCCGGGGAGAAGTACTTTTTATAAGGATATTCTTACTCACTCTAAGGTTGATCACAGTAATAGATGACTTTACAGAATATGTAAATAGAACGGAAAAAGAAACATTTTTTCCTGGACTGTGGAGAGATTATTGGCTTTTCACCCACATGGACATGCCTGGAAAAAGCTGTTGTTTCTTGTTACCTGTGTCTGTAGAACAACATAACAGTTTCAAGCTCATCATGAGGATTCTGAGAACCAAGTGTCAAAGGGTAATTAAGTTTTTTATTCAAAAAATATGCACTCTGTTTCTGGCACTGTACTAGGAATTGGAGATTCAAAGAGAATAAAAAATCACCTGAAATGCCAAAAAGAAGAGAGAGAGAGAGAGAGAGAGAGAGAGATACATTATAAAGAATAAATGGAAAATCTGGAGTTGGAAATACAATAAGAAAAATGAAAAATTCACTAGAGGTACTCAGTAACAGATTTGAAGTGGCAGAGGAAAGAACAGCAAATTTAAAAACAGATTAAGAGGTCTGGGAATGTAGTTTGTGGTAGAGCAATTATCCAGCATACACAAAGCCGTGGGTTCCATATGCAGCACTAACCAAAAAAATAAAAAAAGATTAATAATGATTAATCAAAACCACACTCAGAACAACTAAGTCAGGCAAAGCCAACTTACGGCTGAGCAACACAGATCAATACTATATATATATATATAATTATTCATGAGGGATAGCTGACTTAGGCGTTTTTCAGCAATGCAGTGAAATGCAGTGCAGACTTCAGATCATCCAAGGACTACAGACTGGCCCTATGTCAAGCTCCACAACCTCCGCATCTCTGTTCCCTACCTTATCTCTCACCTAAAGGGCCCTCTCTGCTTTTTTTTCCAACTTCTCTTTACTGTTCAGATACAGCTACTTGAAACTCAACAACCTAAGTACCAAAGAGAATTACATAAGACCTAACACAGTAACATGCATGGAGCTTTTGTTGCCCCACACATCCCAATACCACCAAACACAGCATGTCCCTGTGTGCTAACACCACCAGATCAACAAACATGGCATTTGAAGCAATTCACAGTCACATCGAATATTTTAACCCTCAATCAGGAAATTTGTCCTCTGTGAAAAACTAATGGAATGAGAGAATCCTGCAAATAATATTAGTTCATTTTCACTTCTACATGTTTTATTTCACTTCCATCTCAAGCACAAAAGAAAAGAAGCAAGCACTTCTCCAATTACCTGTTGTGTAAGACTGCGGAATGGCCAAATCTGTTGACATCATGGTGGAGATTAGGTCTTGGAAGCACTGACCAGCGGTCACAAGCTAGAAGCAAGAAAAACACATTTCAGAGAGGACTGCCATTCATAATCAACAGAAACTGACAGTCTTCAAGAAGAAGACTGTAACACTCACACAACTTTGTAAAACATGCCTCTCAACTCTATTAGTCATGCTATGATTGCTGGGTAAAAACCAGCAACAGTGGAGCAGTAGGGCACAAAAGAAAGATGGGTCACATGGCAATTCCAATTAGCATCTGACATTTATGACATCACTCACCCTGCTATCTATCAGTTTTACACCCTGGAATGTTTGTTTTTGGTTTTGGTTTTTGCCATGCTGGGTATCCAACCCATTACCTTGCCCATCATGATAGGCAAGCACTCTACCACTAGACTACATCTCTGGCCCCCAAGAATGTTTTTTAACTTAAGCAAATTTTATATTCTATAAAGCTTAAGTGAGTATACTCTGAGTTCCACAATTGTTTTCTACTCTTTCCCATATTGATCTGCCCAAACTTAGTAGCTACCGTAGAAAAATGCAAGTGGAAATTAAAATTTCAAAAATTAAACTTTATTTAAAAATTTAAAGCTCTTTCCTAGATCTCCTGAGCCTCCTTTGCCCTGACCTATGCTAGCAACGTCCCTCTGACTGAACACCAAGGGTGCTCCTGCACCACCCCACCCACAAGCTCACTGCCTCACTCCCAGGGACACTGCCCAAGAAGAGCTTCTTCAACCTTGACCCAAACCTGCCCGGTCTTCTCCACCCCATCTTCCTCAACATGGAGAACAGAGGCCACAACTGCCCCCAGCTTCCTGCCTACCCACCTTGCTTCCTTCCCCAAAACCACTGGGGCAGATCCCTTCCTCTTCTCTCACTTCAAAGGTCCCTTCCTTGATTCCACAGTGTGTACCCGCTTTCCTTCAGGACTCCATGCCATCTTTGGCCTTCACCACAGCATTTAAATATGCCCAAGGCCAGATATCTCAACTCATCCTCTGTTGTGGTGTAAACTAATTAGTAGAATCAGTAAGAGTGTAAGATATAGGTTATAGATTAGTAAAAAATAGAGATTATAGATCTAAGATTTTGAGAAGTGAGATAAGACAATTATAAAGTGAGAACTGTCATGGACAGGCCTCAGACTCCATTTTGCTGCCTTCTATTAAAAAAAAAAAAAAAAAGATGTTACAAGAACTGTTTCTGAGAAACTGAAATGAAAGATGTTTTCTGATTTTAAAAAAAAATTGTTTTCTGTGCTTTGTACCCCACAAAATGTAAATAGATTCTTGCCCCCACTAACCCCCTGCTTGAACTCAGGATACCGTTGTCCAAACCCTGCTTGGACCCAAGATGCGGTTGTTCAAGTTGCACAAGCTAACTGCTTTTATTTTAAGCTTCTGTAACTTGCTTGCTTGCTAACTGGAAAATTCCGGTCCTGCTTAGGGCTCTAAGGTCCCGCTAACCACTATTTTAGTTTCTGTGATTGGCTTACTCACATGATGCCAAGAAAAGTCCCTGAGCTATAGTTTTCATCCTTAAATTCTCAAGACACAGGCCCGGAAATTGCTGTTCTCCTACAGAGCTTCAGTCTCTATGGGTGAGTGACAATCCCTGGCCAGGTAGTTCTCTTTGATTTGAATTTCGACTTAAAAGAGTGTTTTCTGAAGCAGCTCCTTATAACATTCCCGAAAATTAACATTTAAGCAATAAACAACAGTGACTTACAGAAGAACTATATGTAGAAGTAATGCTTTCTAACAAATGTATAACCTTAGTCAAATAAATACAAAATTACCATTTGGACCTCTTTCAAGTGGCCTGACCATTTGAACTAGTGATATTTTCAGTTTCTTTTTAAAATGTTGCTTTTATATACAAAAACATTTCTGAAGAGAAAAATGGCTCTGGGAAACTTACCAATGTCATAAGCCATGAAGTCTGAAGAGAAACATTTGGCACCATGGCTCATGGATGTGTCATTGTGTGTATTTCCTCCAAACACCAGCATGGTTCCACTCACTATCACAGCTGTGTGCAAGTAACGGAAAAATCGGCTTTCCTTAAGAATGGTCCTTTGAGTTTATTGAAAAATAATAAATGTAAGGTTAGTTTTTAAGAATAGTTATTTATCTGCTAATGCAAACTTAGCCATTTTATTAGCTTCAAACCCAAATGTGCAAATACATTCACACTTTCCTTACACGTAAGTAACTCTCTAGACATGTAAAATCCTATGAGAATCTTGGCAAAAGATATTAACACCCTTAAAATGTTCATAACATAGGATGCTATAATTCTGTTTTCTGGGAAGAAATCATATGAAACACAGAGAGACTCTTATGCACGATACTTTACTAACAAGACAAAAGCTAGAAATAAAAACTTCCAACCACACAGGCTCAGTACACTCACAAGATGGAGTATTACAAAGCTAATAAAAATGATGATTTTTATGCCAGACTGAATGTAAAACCATATTTATGGGAATGGTCTTTCAGATATGTGATGAAATACCAAAAAAGGGAAAACATTGCTTTAAAATTACATTATTTCATAACTCAAATTAGCTTTATATTTGTTAAAATGAGCATACATTTTACAGGCTGATCTGTAATTCAGCATGAGCAGAGCTCTATCAATTAGGTATGAGAGCATCCTGTTTGATGATTATATTGGATTATGCCAATTGCTGACCTCAGGGGTGACACTTTGATTACCAAGACAAGGTTCAAAAATGGATATATCTTCCTGGAGGTACAGCTCAGTGGCAGAGAACTTGCCTTGCAAGTGTGAAGCTCTAGGTTCCATCTCAAACACCACCAAAAAAAAAAAAAAAAAGAATATAGTCTACTTAATTATAAGTGTGTGTACAAACTCAACTACTGCTTTATTCCTTAGGATTCCAAAGGGAAAAAAATTACAGTAGGGCTGAGTGTATGAAAACTGAAAATCAACCCAAGAATACCAAGTAGTTCCTAACCACTATATTACAGAATGTAGGATAATGCAACAAAATAAATGCAGCTAATTTATTACCCTTTGCTTTTTCCTAATTTCTTTATATACAACACTGAACAGAGTTATACACCAGGCCTGAAAACAAAAACAAAACAAACAAACAAAAAAAAAAACCAGCAAAATTTTTTCCCAACAATTGCATCTAGAGAATTCACAGTTTAAAGCAAAAGCTCAAGAAAAAGCACCCACCACATCTGGGTGTCCACATCGTATCTGTAGAGGTCATCTTCGAGCCTGTATTTAACAGCACTGAAAGCCTTGTAACCGCCGTGGACATACAGGGCTTTGGTCCTGTGATCATAAACACTGCTGTGGCCATAATCCCCTTGCACAAGGGCACCCTGGGTTTGCAAAGTACTCCAGGTGTTCCTCTCTGGAAAGGGAAAAACAGTCAAAAGCATGCAGGTTCCCTTTATCTAATATTCAACATCAAAATATCTCAAGGATGGAGAAGGGATTTCACAAGAGCTGATGCATATAATTTCATCCTTTTATCTTAAAAAAAAATCCACCTAAAACTTGTAACAAACCCATATGGCCAAACTCCAATCTGTTAAGTGTTCTGATATTCTAACATGCTATACAGGAAAAGAATTTCATTAAACTGATTCAGATTCCAGCCATATCAATGTTTATAGCATCTCAATTCACAATAACTAAGATATGGAGCCAAACTAGGTATATATACATAATGGAGTATTACTTAGCCATAAAGAAGAAAGACTTTATGATATTTGCAAGTAAATGGATGGATCTGGAGACTATTATGCTAAGTAAAATAAGCCAGTTCCCAAAAACCAAAGGTCAAATGTTTTTGCTGATATATGGAAGCTAACCCACAATAACAAGGGAGAGGGGAAGAATAGATAATAGACAAAGGGGAATGAAGAAAAAGGATAGGAAAAAGAAAGACAGGGGTATGAATCCAAAATAATTTTCCTACTCATATATAGGTACATATATGAATATACCACAATAAATCCCACCATCATGTACATCAACAAGAATGGGGTCCAAGCCGGGCATGGTGGCATATGCCTGTAATCTCAGCGGCTGAGGAGGCTGAGGCAGGAGGATCACGAGTTCAAAGCCAGCCTCAGCAAAAGTGAGCTGCTACATAACTCAGTGAGACCTTGTCTCTAAATAAAATACTAAATAGGGCTGGGGATGTGGTTCAGTGGTTGAGTGTCCCTGAGTTCAATCCTTGGTACCCTCCCTGCAAAAAGAATGGGGTCCTAAATAGAATAAGACACATTCCATGTTTATATAATTATATCAAAATCAATTCTACTATCACATATAACTAAAAAGAACCTATAAAAAAATAAGAATAAACAAAAAGCTTGGAAAGAGACAAAAAAGAATAAATTGGCTATAAATGCAGGGGTTTAAAACTGTTTTAAAATAAAGGACTCAGATTCCCCTCAAGTGAGAATTCAATTCCCTATGATCTTTAGTAATCAGTATACAGATGTACTTTATAGGCCTACTATCTCAAAATATAAATTATAGCTGATACACCTACTTACAACAACAGATAAAACAAAATTTAACCAAGGAAAGATTATGTATTAAAGGAAATTCACACTCCATTAAATCAACCACTAAAGGGCCATCCATATTTTTCCATAGCATTTGTAGTTTTGAACTACTTTTACTTATTTTAACACCCTTAGTATTCAGTACCTCCTTTATCTCCTCGAAAATTGACAGTAGAAAGGGGCATCAATAACATGAATTTTACTGTTTATACATCCAAGTTATCTGCATTTCAAAATGAAGAACTGGATCTAGGTTAGCTTGAATCTTGTTTAACATCCTAACAATGAAAGGAGAGGTTTTTAAGTTGATGTTTAAAACATGTGCGCTGGAAAAAAATATACCTACCCAAGTCATATTCCTGCACATTGCTTATATATCCATAGAGAGGGCAGTGACCAAAGATGACCAGCATGACCACCCGGCCACTCTTCAGTGTTACAATGAGTGCTGAGTGTCCAACCACTGCATACTGCTCCTTTGCTTTTGGGGTCAACAATACCCATGATTCATTATGAATATGAAACGCTCTCAACTCATTGGTCACATTGCCTGTTGAATCAATTTTTCCTCCATACATGTAAATTTTATCCTAGAGGAAAAAACATAAACAGGATTTAAAAAACATTAAAAATTCAAATCTGAGGGGCCGGGGATGTGGCTCAAGCGGTAACATGCTCGCCTGGCATGTGCGGGGCACTGGGTTCAATCCTCAGCACCACATAAAAATAAAAAAATAAAGATGTTGTGTCCACCGAAAACTAAAAAATAAATGTTAAAAAATTCTTTCTCTCTCTCTCTCTCTCTCTCTCTCTCTCTCTCTAAAAAAAAAAAAAAATATCAAATCTGAGAACAAAAAATGACCAGTTCAAAACCTCAATATTGTTCTCAGCTTAAAAAGTATTAATGGGCCATTCCATGAATAATTAGGAAGAGGATGCAGAAAGGAACAAAAATAAGCAAATCATATTTTATGTCTCTAAAACTTTGTCATTTTCTTGGGCTTGCTTATGAGATCTTTTACATAATAAAATAACTTGAAAAAATAAAGTTGCTTCATCCTATCACATACCTCCAAAAATGGGAGGTGAAAATTATTATTTAGTTGCTTGACAATTCTTGGCTAAACCTGGAATGGCATAAATGCTAATCAATATTTTTTAATCTACAGTTCTAACCACTTGGTATCACAATCAATAATATCTCAGTATGGTTAGATCCATTAAAATCTCTTGGGTTCAAGAAATTGCAGCTTCAATTCCATTTACAACTTAGCCAATCAAATAACTCCCACCGCCAAAAGAAAGTCTGCCCCAATTAAAAAAACAACATTCAATAGCTTTTCAACTGCATAATACATAAATTAACTGAGGAAGAGTCGAGTTTCATGCTTAGTACAGAGTGCGGGTATTTTTACCTGATATAAAGCCAAAGAATGACCATATCTAACAACCACATTGTTCACAGAATGGTTTAGTGGAAGCCATTCCCTAGAAGCAAGGTCATACCTACAAAACAAACAGATCAAATTTTTATCCAAATGACAAAACAGAATATCTTGTACTCTTTTATTTGTAACAATCCAGTTTTGAGATGTTCATTAAATCAAGGACACAGGGAGGCACCAGCTACCCTGGCAAACACTACCGACACCTGAGCCCACTAGGTATCTGAGAATTCAGGAAGGGACGGTAGACTACATAGCACTGGGACAAGAAGAAAATAAAAGTCTGGTGGAAGCTTCTAATGCCTCTTCTGAAAATCTCTTCTGTAGTCTAAATCACTTGAAGATTGCATCATACTAAAGGGACTTAAACTTAATTTATTACAATAACTTTTCCTTCAATCCATCCTAAAAAACTGAAGATAAATAAAAGGAAATTACTAGAAAAATTTCCTTTTCTTCCACCTAATTGATTTTAGTCATACTTTTAAGGAAGGCTGAATATATTATAGCATTTCAATTATACCATAAATTTACATACTGATCTTTTGAAATACAAACATGCCAAAATGAAAATAATTTAATACTCTTGTCATACAATTTATACTTACCCTTGCATTACTGAATAATCATATTCAACATCTTAACATATTTAATTTTGAGTATTTTGTTTGTTTTGAGAAAAAAAATCACTGAATTGCTATTATAAATCATACACATTCATTATGAAGAAAACAGCTAAAAGTTTAAAACACAACCCCACATTCTATTACCTAGAAATAAATATTATTAACAGTGAGTAAACAACATTCCAGTTATCTTTCTATGCACATAAACAGGGGGAAAAAGATTAACAAAAATATTTTATATAAAGGGATAAATCCTTACATGATACTTTTAAAATGTTGATTTTTTTTGCACGGCGGGAGGCAACATTGTGTGGGATGGGGGTGGTACTGGGGAGTGAATCCAGGATCATTCTACCAATAAGCTACATCCACAGCCCCCCCCCCCCTTTTAATATTTTTAGTTGTAGATGGATACAATACCTTTGTTTATTTAGTTGTTTTTCACGTGATGCTGGGAATCAAACCCAGGGGCACATGCATGCTAAGCAAGCGCTCACCGAGCCACAAACCCAGCCCCATCCACAGCCCTTTGTAAAATTTTATTTTGAAACAGGATCTTGCTAAGTTGCCCAGGCTAGTCTCAAACTTGTTACTCTCCTGCCTCAGCCTCCAAAATAGCTGGGATTGCAAGTATGTGGCACCCCCACACAGCTAAAAGTATTAATTTTAACTTTTCTAGAATTAACAGCCAAAAAAAAAAAAAAAAACCAAAGAAAAAACAAACGTCTTTTTGTACTTTAAGTAAATGTTTCATTTCTCTGAGAGTATACCTGGATAATCCAACTTTTTAAAAAATTATCAAAAACATTCCTTTTTTAAAAAAATACTTTTATTTTGTTTACTTATTTTTTTATGTGGTGCTGAGGCTCGAACCCAGTGCCTTACACATGCTAGACAAGTGCTCTATCACTAAGCCACAACCCCAGCCCCTCAAAAACATTCTTAAAAGAAAATGTTAAAAAAATTTTATCATAACATCATAGTGAAAACAGCTATCAATTAAAAATTAATTAATAAATTATATCCATGTAACCAAATAATTTAGAGAGAAACTCAAGCAATATATAGCAACATAAATCTCAAAGAATGTTAAGTTAAATAAAGGACAAAAATGCAGAACATTGTTTTTAGTTTTTCCCCTAGTACTAGGAACTGAACTCAGAGGCACTTGATCACTGAGCTAACACTACTAGGCCTTTTTTATCCATGTTTTTCAAAATCAGTACGTTATAGTTGTACATAACAATGGGTATCTTGTTGCGTATTCATACATGCACACAATATAACAATATAATTTGGCCAGTATCACTCCCCAGCACTTCTTTCCTTCCTCCCCATCTCCCACCCCCTTGGTCCCTTTCTTCTACTGAACTCCCTTTGATTTTCATGAGATTGCTCCCATCTTTCTCTTCCTTTTCCTCTCTAGCTTCTGCTTATGAGAGAAAATATACCACCCTTGACCTTCTGAGTTTGACTTATTTCTCTTAACATGATAATGGTATCTAGTTCCATCCATTTCTCTGCAAATGACATAATTTCATTCTTCTCTATGGCTGAATAAAACTCCATCGTGTTTATATCCCACATTTTCTTTATCCATTCTTCTGTTGATGGACACCTAGGCTGGTTCCATAGTTTGGCTATTATGAATTGTGGTACTATAAAAATGGGTATGCACGTATCACTGTAGTGTAATTATTGTAATTCTTTAAGAAAAATACTGAGGAGTGTATAACTGTGTTATTTGGTGGTTCCACGACTATCTTTTGAGGAATCTATAGATTTCCATAGTGGTAGTATTAATTTACAATCCCACCAACAGTATAATGTTCCTTCTCCTCCACATTCTTTCCAGCATTTGTATTCTTGATGACTGCCATTCTGACTGGTATAAAATGAAATCTCAGTGTAGTTTTGATTTGCATTCTCTAATTACTAATAATGTTTAACATTTCTTTATATATTTGTTGGCCATTTGTATTTCTTCTTTTGAGCAATGTCTGTTTAATTCATTTTCCCATTTATTAATTGTATTATTTTTGGTGTAAAGTTTTTAAAGTTTTTTATATACTTTAGAGTTACTTATCCAGCAAAGATTTTCCCTATTCTGTAGGTTCCCATTACACTCCTAATTGTTTCCTTTGCTGTGCAGCTTTTTAATTTGATGCCATCCCATTATTAACTCCTGGCATTATTTCCTGAGCTTTATGGGTATTGAGAAGTCATTGCCTATGCCTATGTGTTGGAGTGTTGACCCTATGTTTTCTTGTAGAAGTTGCATAGTTTCTGGTCTAACTCCCAGGTCTTTGATTCATTGTGAGCTGATTTTTATGCAAGGTGAAAGATAAGGTCTAGTTTCATTCTTCTATATATGGATAACCAGTTTACCCAACACCATTGTTTAAAAAGGCTGTCTTTTCTTCAATGTATCTTTTTGGCACTTTTGTCAAGAAATGACTGCAGATGTGTGGGTTTGTCTCTGTGTCTGTTTGTATGCCAGTACCATGCAGTTTTTGTTACTATAGCTCTGCAGTATAATTTGAAGACAGGTACTCTGATGACTCCAGCATTGCTTTTTTGCCTTAAATTTGTTTTGACTATTCTGAGTCTTTTTTTTTTCAAGTGAATTTTAGAACTGTTTTTTCTAGCTCTGTGAAGAATGCCTTTGGTATTTTGATGAGGATTGCACTGAATCAGTATACTGCTTGTGGTAGTATAGTCCCAGGACTTTTTATTATTTCAAAACGGGGTCTCACAAAAGTTGCTGAGGCTGGCCTCAAATTCTTCTCCTTCAGCCTCCTGAGTAGCTGGGATTACACCTTTGCACCATCATACCCAGCCAAAATGTTGTTTTTTATGAAGACTACAACCAGAAAATATAGTAATACAACTTTTTTATTGGGGGGGGGGGTACCAGGGATTAAACTCAGGGGCACTTGACCACTAAGCCACATCTCCAGCCCTATTTTGTATTTTATTTAGAGACAGGGTCTCACTGAGTTGCTTAGAGCCTCACTAAGTTGCTGAGGCTGGTTGTGAACTTGAAATCCTCCTGCCTCCATCTCCCAAGCTGCTGAGATTACAGACATATGCCACTGTGCCTGGCTTTCAACATATTTTTAAGAAATGCAGGTGAACAACTGAAACCAAAATCAGGACACTACCTCTGGTACTTGAGAAGAACATACCAGAGTCCTCAATTGTATTCACAATGTTTTATTTCCCAGTATAGGTGCTAAATGCATTAGTATTCATTATATTTTATCTAAACTTTTCCTTTTCACTAAAATATTTTATACAAGATCTGAAGCAAATATAACAACATGGTGACATCTATTAAATGCAAATAACACATAAATTAGTATTGGCTATTTACTTTGTATATTTTTGGAATAGTCCATTTTCTAAAAATACATGAAAAATTATTTAAGCTTTAGTGTTATCTAATCATTATACATTAAGTGGCCAATTATTTAGTTTTATTAATTAATTATTTTATTACTAATGTTGTTTGCTCAAGTTTTAAATGTATACACAATTTACTTTGGGGCACTCTACTAACTTCCTGCTTTGAAAGTTGAAAATCTTAGCATTAACATTTCTAATCCCATTTCTTCTCCCTATTTTTGTTACATTGACACCACATGTTCATAACATTCACATTCCATTCTATAATTCCATAGATATTTACTACAGAATCTGTGTCTGAGCTCAGGCAATCTTCTCGCAGTCATTCTACCATGACTTCTCCTTGAGCTCTTTAATACTTAATTGGCTGATTTCACAACCAAGTAGTATTTTGTAAAAGCAGCACTCATCAGGGCTGGGATTGTAGCTCAGCGGTAGAGTGCTTGTCTAGCACATGCGAGGTACTGGGTTCGGTCCTCAGCACTACATAAAAATAAATAAATAGATATTTTTTAGAAAGAAAGAAAGAGCTTGTTTTCTATAAAAATGTATGCATTTTTTTAAACCAAGAAAAACACTTAAAGGAAACAGGAAATATGCTTTCAAATAGGGTTAAGGGGAGAATATTAAATAGGTGTGATGCAAGTTCCATCTAATTTTCAGATTTGGGGGTAAGGAGAACATCTTTTTGGTATAAGATGCTAAAAGTAACTCAGAAAAGAATACCACTCCTGCTGGGATTGTGGCTCAGTGGTAGAGAACTTGCCTTGCATGCGTGAGGCCCTGGGTTCAGTCCCCAGCACCATATAAAAACAAATAAAATAAAAATAAAGATATTGTGATCATCTACAACTAAAAAAAATATATATTAAAAAAAAAAGAACTCCACTCCTCATCCTACCATTCCTCGTTTTACAGAGAGGAAACAATCTCGGAGACTGCAGTTGCTCAACTAGGTAGAATAAATTTCCTGTTAAAAACAAGAGAAAAAATAGCAGCAATAGTTCAGTGCATTTTCCACATCCTTTCACAAATTTTTGGTGAGTTATTCTTCTAAGTTGCAAAAGGTTATTTCACTATAATACTTTTATTAGTCATTAAATTTAATTAAAAAGACTCAAGAGAAGGAAAAAAATTGATTACATTTTCCAGCATATTTTCTGTTCCTGAGGTTCTGAGACTCCTTCTTTTTTCATTGATTTCTGTTTAGAGACCTTCCTTTATTACTTTTATAGGAAAAGTCTACTGGAAACAAATTACGTTTTCCTTCATTTCAGCGTGTCTTTTGATTTCCTCTTATTTCTTTTGTCCCATATTTGTCTTAGTGTCCAGGATTTTTAACTGTACTTACTGTAAAAACGGGAAAATAACCTTCATTTCTTTATGATTAAAAACAAAAATCCCTCTTTTCATATTCTATTTCTAAAGCATTTATAAACCCTGTGTCCTTCAGGTTTGTCTTCCATTCTAAAATTATTTTTGAATCTCTAAAAATACTTAACTTCTAAAAAATATTTTTTAATTTAAAAAATAAAATTCTTAACTTCCAGCCAGGCATGACAGTGACTGCCTATAATCCTCCCAGCAATTTCTGGGGCTGAAGGAGGAGGACTGCAAGTTAGAAAACAATCTCACCAACTTAGTGAGACCTTGTGTCAAAATTTAAAAATAAATAAATAAAATTTAAAAAAAAATATCTCAGAATGTGCTCAGTGGTAAAGTACCCCTGGGTTCAATCCCAAGAACTAAAAAAAGAAAAAAAAGCAAACGAACAAACCAACAATCACATTTCTGAATTTTTCTAGTTCAGATTAGATTGTTCTTGCATACTATATATTTAGCTTGTTTTGGAATACTATATTGTAATTTTCATCAGTTTTATATTTTTCTATATTTAATGCTTTCTGTATGAATGGGCTTATTTTATTCCATACTCTCTTTTTTCTGATAAGAACTTTCCATGATATTTAACCTTGATATTTTTAAGTAAAATTGCTTCTCCCTGGAGCTGGGGTTGTAGCTCAGTGGTAGAGAGCTTACCTCGAATAGGTGAGGCACTGAGTTCTATCCTCAGCATTACATAAAATAAACAAAACGAAGAAATTGTGTCCATCTAGAACTAAAATTTTTTTTTAAAAAAAACTGCTTCTCCCTGTGTTTTCACTGGGTAGCTGCAGGATAGTTCTACCTTCTCAGCTCTTGAGCTCACTCTTTGCTGTTGCAATGGAATGTTCACACAGATGGCAGTTCCCATGTTGAGAACACCTCACTCTGTTCCCTTCTCACTGAACCTTCTCTCACTTAGTCTCCACTATCCCTGTCCTGTTCATTATGAATTCTATTCTCAGCATTTCTCCTCAGTATGGACTTGCTCCTGCAAAGAAATTGTGGCTGGGCAGTTAAAGAAAGATAGAAACTTTGGCTGGTTCACTTTGAGAATAAATACAGCACAAACTGCTCCAGACCCTTCAAATTCTACTATGGATCCCTTGAACTTACTCAGCTACTAGAATATACAACATCCTCCAGTCCCAGCTGTGGCTCTCAACATGGTCTGCTAAGCCCATGAGTGAGTACCTTACAGCCATTCTGAATGCCACGGGCCTCCCACTGCTGCTCTTCTGTGCTACTCACTCCTGCACAGAAGGTGACCCATGCAGGGCTTATAGCCATCAACAGTTCTGCCCCACACAGTTGAGAGTAAACCTTCAGACAAAATTTTCTTACAGATGTTGCTCATTTGTCTGTTTTTGTTTTGTTTTTGGTTATTTCACAGTACTAGGCACCCTACCACTGAGGTACATCCCCAGACTTTTTTTATTTTGAGTCAGGGTCTCACAAAGTTGGCCATGCTGGCCTCAAACTTTAAAACCTCCTTCCACAGCCTCCCAAGTGGCTCATTTATAATGCACATACCACCATGCCAGGAACTCAGGTGTTTATTTTGCTATCCTATTTGTTCTGTACTAGTGACTGTATTTCATAGGATTCAGAAACTATACCACAAGTGCCATATTTCTATCTTGAAAAATAGATGCTGGTGTTTTATAATCTTCATTAACATAAAAGGCCTAAAATAAACTTTCACATCACAAAATCACAATGAGTAAGTATTCACAAATTTCTTCTAAAAGAAAGTCTCCCTACAACTATTAATTCAATTAACACATAAAATACTCCCCTATATATATAGCCTACTATAAACAAATAAAGTAAAATACCAGAAAAAGTATCTCAAAATGATAAATTAGCACATGGCTTAAAAATGAATACTTTGGGGCTGGGGCTGGGACTGGGGCTATATAGCTCAGTGGCTTGCCTAGCATGTATGAGGAACTGGGTTTGATCTTTAGCACCACATAAAAATAAACAAATAAAATGAAGGCATTCTGTCCATCTACAACTACTAAAAAAGTTTTTTGCTAAGAATAAGGTTAACGAACAATGTATTGTGGTGTTCAATTTCAAAGATTCAGATTACCTGAAAAGGAAGTTTTTTAGTAGCAGGACTGATGATTTCTTTTCCTTTCGCTTATTTAGGCTTAATTAGAAAAATGAAAAACTAAACTTCTTACAAAAATTTTTAAAAATAACTTACGCTAGAACCATGCTGTAATCTGAGTGGTTGAACATATATCCTCCAACAATCCACATTATGTTTCCATTGACCACAGCTTAATGAGATGCTCTGGGCAGCTTTAAGTTTGAATATTCCTCTCGAGTCCAAAATGACTGGTTAGCTGGCACAGGAACTGAACATCCAGGGCCTAATAAAACATAATAAATTAGCTTCACTAAATGCACCTGGAAAGTTTACTGTACTTCAGGTTTTAAGCATATAAATGTGAAATTTTTGTAAAGAATATTTAGTCCCTAATTTAGCATCTACATTTCAAACAAATTTCTTTGTGGTTTTAATTCACTCACAGTATTGATCCCAGGAATCCCTAATAAAATTCAAAATCATATACTTTCTAATAATGACTTGACCATATCCAATGTAGGTATTTCAGTATCAAAAGTCCTACTTTATCAGCTTCCGGTGGGAAGACTACATAAAGAAATTATTAATTCAAATTGAAAAACCTAAAATGTAACAACTAGACCTAGGAGTGATAATAAAACAAACAAACAACAACAACAACAACAAAAAAAAACTACCCATCTTCTAGTAAAGCAAAGAACTCAACAGAGGTGAGATACAATAACAGATGTAAGGTCTGGTTTCTGCTACACTCTTTGCAAGTAGTTAAAAATTGGTACTCAAACATGCCAATTGTTAACTACTTAGTATCACCAAACCCAACAGATGAAAGCATGTAAACACACATATTTACTTTTAAAATGAAAAGGTTCTGAGGAAGGAATAAGTATATAAACAAAGTCATCAAATCAACAACTGCCCTTAGCCCTTATGGAATCCCCTAAAGCACCTTCAACAAGCTATTTCTCTAGATAATAACTTTAGGTGACTGCTTTAAGATTCTAATGCATAATCAATTTTCTCAGAACATGGAGAAAGTTTTAGGGGAAATAGCATTATTGTCAGCTCTTGTCCCATCTCCAAACTTGGTTCTATGCTATGTCCTCTTATGGCTGAGATCAAGTTCTTAAAACTTTCATAAATGAACTGCAAAATGGAAAACCTCTCCACAATTCTAAGGAGACCACAACCACATAGGTGAGACATTAAAAGATTTGTAGGAAACCGCATAAAGGGAGGAGAAAGCTTACATGACCCCTGATATATAATGAACATAAGTTGTACAGATGCTAAGACTAAGGTTAACGAACAATGTATTAAACTAGAAACAATTTGTGAACTGAAAGAAAAACAAGAGAAAGAAGCTCCTACCCTGCCATTCAGAGAAGCAGGAGCATCCTCGGATATCACTTGAATTGCAGATGCCTCGATGAGGAAAACCACAGTTGTTTGTACAGTAAGGAATGTCACACGAGTCACCTTTCCAGTTTTCAGAACATTCACACTCCACATTGCCACTGCTGTTGCTGGTCTTACATTCTCCTCGGCCTGAGCAATTATTCGGACACATGTCAAAACTATAAAGACAGTGAAAAAACTAAGTCAACACAAACCAACACGCCAATGAACTTGGCAGAACTTCCTCCTACACAAGGCTTAAGGATCTCCCTGTCTCTTCAGTTCATTCACAAGCATAAATGCAGTGTTTACCACTCAACCCAAAAAGGGTCCCTCCACACTGCACAGCTTGGGCATGTGAGCTCAAACCCACCCTGGTGGAGGCTCATGAGAATAGGGCAAAAAAACAAGTAACTCATAAAGTTAAAGAAATCACCAGGAGAGAAGAGATTTGATCATATTTGTTCAGATTTAGCTCCTCAAGTCTGGGACAACTATCCTATTCTTCTCGGTAGCCCACTAGTGACAGGCGCTACACAACTGCCAAATTCATGTTTGCAAGCGTGGGAAGGAAGAGGATAAACTTCCAACTACACTCATAGTACCAGTAGCCCTCTGAACATCTCTGAAAATTTGTAAAACTTAAGATTATTGCCCAAAATCTTATATTTTGAATTATTTAGTAAGCTGATCCATTTCAGATGGAATGGAAGCAGGGTTATTTTAACAGTGTGTGAGTTTAACCATAATGTATCTCTTATTAACATGGCTTAAGATAACAATATAGATAGTGCTTAGAAATAACACAAAGGGGGCAGATAAATGAATTATCATGATACTTCAAAAACATAGACTTGTTCTACTACTGAGTACATGGCAACTGTTAATATTTATTAAATTGTACTTACCAAAAAAATCACAATGTTTTATCCATTAGCAAGAAATGCCCCTCTCTTCCAGGAGAAGCTCAACAGCAGCAACACCTGGTTTAAACTATGGCCGCACCACCAACAACAACACTTATATTAACAACTTATTTAATTTTTTCACCCATTTCCTTAATTGTAAAATATATTTAAAAACTTTAAATGAGAAACCCATGTAACCTGCTTACTGAAATTCCTGGCACAGTGTAAGTCCTCAATATTTTAATATTATTATACTATTAAATCATTATTATTAAAACATTTCATTTAAATAAAAACACAAATATTAGATTTAAATATCTTACTTGTAAGTGATATTAAATCCAGTCAAATTATAAGCGGCATCGCTAAAAAAAATGCAGAAGGGCATAACCTGATGTGACAACCACCTCGGGAACCGTCTCATTGCCATCTCTTTCAGGAACAATGAGGCCACTGAAATGGAAGCACATTTCTTATAGCACAATGCCAGCTGTGTTAAACTGTAGCAGAGACAATTCAAAAGTTCATCTTTACAACTTTAGAAAGCACATGCAGGCAGAGGGGTGAATTCCTGTGATGGAAGCACACAGCTACCCTATTAGTTGTCCTTCTTTTGCTAGGTTTCCTTTATTCTGGGTTCCATTTCTAATAAAATTTGAAATCAATGGTTCTATTTTTATACACCTTTTAATAATTCTCTAAATCTCCACAATCTTGTAAAGTAGTAAACTTTATGAGTTGATAAATGGTAAATATGTAGTACTAAAAGACATAAAATATTGTTAAATAAAATATTTATTTACATAACAATATAAAGAAGCTAAAAAAAACCACAACTCCGACACTATTGGCATTCTGATGCATTTTCTTTCCCTAATTGATACCACTGGCATTTTATGTTCGATTTTACACATAGCATACCATAGGCCTTCCCTGTCACTAAAAGCTCCCTAGGCTCTCCCAAGGACCTCACTCAGAGGCCAGCACATAATATTCTAACTAAGTACTGCTTTGGGGCCAATAAATCCAGGTGAGGAAAAAAATGACTGAATCGAAGGGTCTTATTTTCCAGAAGTGAGATGCTCAATTGAAATCCTGTCTGATCAATCCAGATTGTCTGATCACACCACCTCACACCACCAACAAGAAGGATTACCAGTTCTAAGTTAGCTTTGCTAATTTCATACATGATTTATTGTGGTTTTGCATTCTTTTCTACTCCTGAGGTTAACAACTTTCCTATGTCTACTTGCCATTTGCATTTCTTCACGTCTCTGACTTTCCCACTATCAATTCACCTCCCCGACCATCACATTCAGCCAGTGCCTAGGTCCTTACCAACTCCCATGGAATCTGCGGCACACACTCCCACTGATGAATGAACATCAACTAGTACTCTCCCCTTCACTTACTCACTCTTAACCCCATTCCCTTCCTAGAGCACACACCAGGTAAACTCCCACCTCAGAGTCATAATCATCTTAAATGCCCATTCACCCTGACCTAGTGATTCTCTTTCTTTGTAGAGGAAATACTTGCTCTCGTTCACAAAAGAAAATATACAAGAATCCTAACTGCAGCATCACTCAGATGGTAACAGGTTGAAAGCATCAAAGTGCTCTCCACAGGGAGCTGCTGAATGAGGCCTTGGGCATCAGAAGCTCACCCTGGCATTCTGATGGGCCTAGAATATGGGTACATTTACCTGAACGTATATAAGTGCAGGAAGACTACATAAGTGTGGAATGAAGACAAGAAGGCATGGGATTTCCATTTAATTTTTAATATGAAAAGAGAACTCTAGGAAACCTAACACTCAGAAGGCACCCCAGGGGGGCCAGAAAACACTGACATATTTTCTACCAGGTATTCAACTAACAAATATTTACTAAGTGCTTACTACATGGGAGGCTCTGTTCTAGGTATAAGGATAACGACAGTGAAATAGACAATGTCCCTACCCTCAAGGAGTTCAGTTAGAGAAACAAATAAGCCCTGACACATCCTCACATGCAAGTGTGTATTCACACAGGCCAGGCAGAGATCATACCATGAAGGGAAACAGGGCAGAGAAGAGAACAGGAGGTACTGGGTTAGAAAGGCAGTTGGGAGGGCTTTCAGAAGACGTGACATTTGGTCAGAATCTTAAGTGAAAGTTTTGCCATCACCACGTTTTCATTCACTTTACACAGAGGTCAAGCAGCCTTTATCCAAATGCTTGGGACCACGTGTGTTTCAAATCTCAGATTTTGTCAGATTTGGCAATATTTGCATATACATAATGAGATATCTTGGAAAAATGGCCTTCCCTCAGGTTGCTTATGATTTTATATTTTAAAAACAGACCATCAAACAGAAAATTGATTTACATTGCATGTACACCCCCAGACACATAATCTGAAGGTAATTATTTATATAATATTTTTAATAATTTTGTGCATAAAACAAAGATCCATGGTGTAGAGCTTCCCACTCGTGGCATCATGTCAGCATTCAAAAACTTCTGTGTTTTGGAGCATTTCAGATTTCTGGATTAGGGATGCTCCATCTGTACCAGTATGTTGAAGGGATAAGTACTTGCCTTGCAAGTGCAGAGCCTCTTACAAACAGATATGTCAAAAGCAATCTTCCCAGGACTGGGGTTGTGGCTCAGTGGTAGAACATCGCCTAGCATGTGTGAGGCATTGGGTTCGAGCCTCAGCACCACATAAAGATAAATAAATAAAGGCATTATCCATCCAGAACTAAAAAAATGAAAAAAATTAAAGATTTTTTTTTTTTAAAAAGCAATCTTCCCATAAGAAATATAGGCCTATTCCAGAAAGAATCTGGGACTACAGTCACAAGTGGGAGGTCCTGTATTCTCTGTTAGTCCAGCACAAATTTCAGGATCAAAGAGACTTGATTTCAATCCTTGCTGCATGTTACTGACATCTCTGAGCCCCAGTTTCCCCCAAATGCACAATGGGAAGAATCCTGTCCAGCTCATAGTGACATCATGAGGATCAAATTGGTGGAGCATATGCAGGGCTTAAGCCTCCCACTAGGAGGTGCTCAGTAAGTGATAGCAGGTGGCCTTCTTCATATGGTGGGGACATTTAAATATGCAGGATGAATAACTTTACCAACTAGAGAAAGTGGATCAGCTTTCCCACTGTCAGGGAGGCTTAGGAATCTGCTATTATTTGCTTCAAAAACTTGAAATTGTGACAGCTTTGCAGTGTGTGGATTTCTCCCAGTGTGAAAGCAAAACAACTGGTTTAAGACAAAAAAAACTTTTACAGAGTAAATGAACAAACACAGCCTCCTTCAGCACATGAGACAAAGGAAGGCCTGTGGGTGAGGAAGGGTTGCTGCAGGCTTGCTCCAGCTGTCACCCTGAGCAGCCTCCAATGGGAAGTCGGTAAGTGCAGGTGCAGCCTGGGCTGTAGCTACTTGTTAAACTGGAGCAAATCAAAAATGGCCTGCCCTCAGGTTGCTTATGATTTTATATTTTAAACACAGACCATCACTGTTTAGAACCAATTGTGAAAATCACAGAAGCAGACAAACTGAGCCCTGCTTTCATAAGGCATCCTTTGTTCACAGTCTAACAACTGCCTCATCACTATTTCACTTGATTTTAAAAAATAATAACTCTAGCTATGGCTTGATGGCGCAGGCCTGTAATCCCAGTGGCTTGAAAGGCTAAGTGCTGGAAGCCATCAGTGAGGGGTGGGTAAACTGGGTGATGTTGTAGCCATTAGGCAGGAAAGCCTCCTATGAGGAACTCCCAGCAGGAATGCACTGGTTGGAGAAAGCCTGATAGACGTGGTGCCCTGCCTAGCTCACTGCTCAAGTTCTAGCTGAAATCCTGAGATGGGAGTGACCCTCTGGAGCCAATAGCCTCTTGGTGTAGCTTGTCATATCCCAATCAACCTCTTTACTGCAAGACCCCAGCCATCGAAACAAGACTCCTCCCATTGAAACCTTATCCCTGCCTTTGATGTACTCTGCCTTAAAATAAAGAATGGGGCCTTTTTTCAGTTGTTCAGTTTCCAGCTCCTATCAGGACTCAAAGGCCCATCAGGCACTTCACTAAATCTAATCTTTGGCTCTGTCTTTATTTCTTACTGATTATTTCAGACTTTTAATTTTCCCAGGCAGTTCACACCTCTTTGGCAGGAACCTGCTCTGTTGGGGTGCCAGTCATCTTGATAGCTGGGGCAGGAGGATCATAAGTTCAAAGCCAACCTCAGCAACAGTGAGGTGCTAAGCAATTCAGTGAGACCCTGTCTCTAAATAAAATACTAAATAGGGCTGGGGACGTGGCTCAGTGGTTGAAAGCCCCTGAGTTCAATCCTCGTTTCCAAAAATAAATAACAGACACTTCTTAGAAGATGATGTACAATCAATCAACAAATACATGAAAAAATGTTCATCATCACTAGCAATTAGAGAAATGCAAATTAAAACCACTCTAAGATTTCATCTCACTCCAGTCATAATGGCAGCTATTATGAAGACAAACAACAATAGTGTTGGTGAGGATGTGGGGAAAAAGATACACTCATACACCACTGGTGGGACTGCAAATTGGTGCAGCCAATACGGAAAGCAGTATGGAGATTTCTTGGAAAATTGGAAATGGAATCACCATTTGACCCAGCTGTCCCTCTCCTCGGTCTATACCCAAAGGACTCAAAAATAGCATACTACAGGGACACAGCCACATCAATGTTTATAGCAGCACAATTCACAATAGCTAAACTGTGGAACCAACCCAGATGCTCTTCAATAGATGAATGGATTAAAAAAAATGTGGCATATATACACAATGGAATATTACTCAGTAATAAAAGAGAATAAAATCTTGGCATTTGCAGGTAAATGGATGGAGTTAGAGAAGATAATGCTAAGTGAAGTTAGCCAATCCCAAAAAAACAAATGCCGAATGTTTTCTTTGATATAAGGAGGCTGATTCATAGTGGGATAGGGAGCAGGACCATGGGAGGAATAGACAAACTCTAGATAGGACAGAGGGGTTGGAGGGGAAGAAAGGGAGGGGTAATTAATGATGGAGGAATGTGATGATCATTACTATCCAAATACATGTATGAAGACACGAATTGGTGTGAATATACTATATATAACCAGATATATGAAAAATTGTGCTCTATATATGTAATAAGAATTGTAATGCATTCTGCTGTCATATATAAATAAAAAATACATAAAAATAAATAAATGAATATTTTAAAAAAAAACTCTAAAAGGAACAGTGTTCTTTTGAAGAATATTCTCAGGGAGGAAAACCACTCTCCAGCTCCATCAACCACAAAAACCTCTGCATCTCCTACCCACAGACTCTAGCAGATGGCTGTGTCACAAGGCACTCCACACGTGGTCCTGTGGAATACTCAACAAAATCATAGTGCTGCAGAGCAATTTAGAACATCCCATATAGTTGGTGAAATTGTTTCATTTAACTACTAATGTAGAATGTGCTTGTTAGAAAAAAAAAGCAATAAATAACTGGTCTGTTCCTCATTCTTAGCAGGTAACCACTTTCATTTTATTTATTTCATTCCAAAGTTTCCCTCATCCATTATAACACATACATAAATACATATACATACATATACATAAATGCAAATGCAGACTGACACACCCACCCACCAATCATATGTGAATTCAGCAAGTAAATCTTGAAGTCCTATGTAATAACACAGAAGAACAAGATGGGCATGGTTTCCAATTTAAGTTTTCACAAAAAAATGTTATATTTAACATATTACTCAAACATTTTTTTTCTGAAAAGGTAAACTTCACCCCCACCATGAAGAGAAGGTAAACTTGATAATACTGTCACAACTTTACAGATCAGCAAAATGGAAGAGATCAAGCACTACACCCAGAAACTGACCCTGTAGGCAAAGGAGCCCAGTCAGGACTAGCACACAAGAAGTGGACTGCAGAACCACTCATTCCATGAAGTGAATGTGTTATGTGATATTAACTGTGAATCCAGTAAGAATGTAATATAGGATATAGGTTTAAATTCAAAAATAAAATAATGATGACCAACTATTTATATGACTGAGCTTACCTAAAGGCAGCAATTAGTGGTGCATAAATTGAGTCCCCATCATAAACATATAAATGGTCCCAACTACACTCTGTAGCAAAATGATTGAAACGAAGTCTCATTTTTCTATTTGGCCTGAAAAGAACAAAAACAGTAATTTACAATAATCATCATAACCATTAAGCACTGTAGAAACTTTTTAAGAATTTACAAGGAGAAAAGAAATTAATAGTATATACACAGTATTCCTCCATTTGTCAAAGACTCACTTAGTACTTGCTATGTCCAAGAGGGCATTAAACATGCAATGGGAAACAAAACAGATGTGATCCATGACGCCTGGGGCTTTGCAGTCCATTTAGCAGTCTGGGACAGCCAGTGTTTAACAGCCTCTGACCAATGCATTAGCCCTTCCACTTCGCACTTCCTTTCTTATTCAACTTCAGATTCCACACTCTTCATTTCACAAACACCCCTGTCAGTTCTCTAAACTTGCCTGCCCTCTGCCTCTTCGTGGCACTGCCTGGCAAAAGTCTACAGGAAAACATTTATCAACTTTGACTTAGATTGAATCCAAAGAAAACTGAGCTGTACTGAAGAAGTCCTGCCACCAGGCCGACTGCTTCCAGTACCCATCTCTGCTCAGCACTTCACGTGACACTTGGATTCTGCCAGCAGTCCTACCACTATCTCCCTCTCCCTCTCCACAATCACTAATTTTCAGGGACTATTTCAAACCTTCCAATTTCACCTTCCTGTTTATGCTTTGCACCTAGACAAAAATCCATGAAATTACCATTTCCCAAAACAGATAAACCTATTTCTCCTTACATCTCTCAAATATTTAATATTTCCCTCTTATATGGGACTTTCCCATCCACATTTAAATCTGCTTAGTATCCCATATTTGACAAAGCAAAACATAAAAGTCCTGATGTACCCATTGAAGAGATTTGTAAAATGGGAAAAAATGCCACTCTTTTCACAAAAATTCCTTTAAATATAAAGATTTTTCCCCCTTAAAAGTGACATTTATTTGGAATCCTCAAAGTTGAAAAGTGTCAGGAGATCCTGCGACTAAAAGTTTGAGAAATACTGCTTCCCAGGAGAAATACTTCTTCCATGATAAATACTCCTTTGCATGAAGGAAAGGAGAAAAAGGAAGGAAAAGCTGGAGAGACCCAGAAGTCCAGAGAAGGGACAATAAGGCAAGAGTGGTTATTCTGATTTTTCTGCCATGATAAAAACAGATATTTAGAAAAATTACAAAATATTATAATTTATAAAGTTTTAAGCAAACTGTTAAAAATAGTTTAACAGGTTTTTAACTATTACAGTTGAAAATATACAATTTTATAGTGCATACAATTTATTTGCAGCAATTTAAATCAATCTGAAATTTAAAAAAAAAAATAATGATAAAAATTAAGGTGCTGAGAGAGTGCTTGCCTAGCAATACAAGGCCCTGGGTTAAATCCTAGTGCAAGAGAAAGAAAATTTAAAAATCAGAATCAGAATCATTTGCCAAATGAAAACTATTAAACATATTTTAAATATTTATGCTACTGGGTCTCGGGATATAGCTCAGTTGGTAGAGTGCTTGCTTTGCATGCACAAGGCCCTGGGTTCAATCCCCAGCACCACAAAAGAAAAAAGAATAGCAACAATTTGTTAATGTCGTTTGTTGGAAAAGTAATGCCACACTGAGCTCTATTCTAAAAAATAAAAATAAAAAATGAAGTCAGCCATTACTACTTACTGTCCTTCAATGAGCCACGTGCACTTCATTTTATATTTATAATAACCAGGTCCATCTGTTATAAACCCAGAAGCTCCAGTTAGCCTGTAATTTAAATTTTAAAAAATCAATCTATCAGGAATTCAGACACTAATATCTTTCTTAATTCTCAATACAATGCAAATTGAGCAGACTGGGTACATTAATACATACTATATATGCATTTTAAGCACTGTCTCTTATCTCTCCAGTTCATTTACTTAGTTCCTCAAATGTGTCTTAGTTCCTCTTTCCAATGTGTCTTCAGCTCATAGGGACTGTCAATACATGGAACTACCACTTCTTCACTGTTAATCATTCACCATGAACACATTTCACTTTCTTACTTACCTTGTTAAGATTCCATGGTCCATCACAAGAATCATATCCTCCAAATCTCTCAACTTCCTTGCCCTTTTCTCCCTCTGCTATGCTTGTCTGTCTGATACAGAGATCTACATGTCTTACTTCCCAAATCTTCTTTATTTTGAGAAAGGGTCTCACTTACTTACCAAGGCTAGTCTCAAACTTGCAATCTTCCTACCTCAGCCATCCAAGTAGCTGGTATTATAGGTGTGTATCATGGGGTCTGGTCAATCTCTTTTGTTTATTGTATTTTGCTCTTTTACATTTAGTTAGCTATTTATAATGTCAAAATTTAAATTCTCCTCCTGTTTCTCTTTGCCTTTGTACAGATCATGTGAACATTTTTTTTAGGATTCTGTACTGGGGTTCTACAGAGAAATAGAACCAATAGGATATGTGGAGTGAGTCTGTTGCAGGGGACAGACGAGGCAAGACACCAAATAGGAACAGGAAGCAGGTTTATTTAGCTCTAGCCAGGTTCAGTGGGCAAAGCTTTCTCTGTAATCAATCAATCCCCCTGAACCCTGAATTCAGGCAGTTTCAGAACTTTATACCCTTCATGTAAGGGAGGGGCTCCGAAGTTCACAGTCTGCAGAAGTTCACACAAAAGCAGCTTTTTCTTTCACTGTTCTGGGCAAGTTAACCCTTCAAGGACATAGCCTGAGAAGAGGAGAGCTTTTTCTCCCCTTTCTTTCCTCCCCCTGCCAGCTGTTACCATGAAGCCCAATTGGTAACTTCTCTTATATTAGAAATGTAGACATCTCTGTGAAGCCCAGCTCAAGGCCAGAGACCTTGTTAAAGGATCTTTTTTTAAAATCCCACTTTGCATTTGCAAACACACTTCTACATACTATTGTACTGGATAAATATCTGTAAAAAACTAGTAAAGGGGCGTTCAGCACTCCAGGTGCTGAACTCTTCCAGACTGGTAGCCAAGTAAGACAGAGCAATAGGAAATAGGAAGTTTAACTACACTGAACTCTTTTGTACAGACCCTTTTGCTGATAGTCCTAAAACCAATTATGGTGAAGATTTCTGGAGAAGCTTAGTTAAGATTTTCTGTGGAGAACGGGGTGCCAATATAAGTTTTCTAGGGAAATTAGCTCTTGCAACTATGGAAACTGCGAAGTGCCATGATAAGCTATCTACAAGCTAGATAATCAGGGAAGCAGTGGCATAGCTCAGTTCAACTCCAAAGAACTGAAAAGCAGAAAAGCTGATGGAATAACTCTCAAAGGCCAAAGACCTGAAAACCTGGTGGGGAACTTGTCAAGTCCTAGAATCTGAAGATCAGAGAATCTGGAGTTCTATGTTCAAGAGCAGAAGAAGATGGATTTCCAGCTCCAGGGAAGCATTAAAATTCCCCTTGCACTAGGTGAGGTCAGATTTTCGTTATTTAGTCTAGCTCAACCACTGAACTATATCATCATATCTTCTGGGTATCACTTAACCCAGTCATGTTCTGGGTTGATTACAACTAACCATCACAGATTCCATATTGATTTATTTTTATTGTTTTTATCTTCTTTTCATAGTTGTTTAGATCATTACTATAATGTAAACATGTGCTTTATAATAATCTATTTACTAGTAACATTTCACCACTTTGAGTGAAGTATGGAAACTTAACTTCTATTTAGGTGCTTTGTCTTCATATAAATATCATCTTTAGTACCCGATAGTCTTGTATTTTTATTCAATCATCAAATATGATTGCTAAGACTTAGAAGGAAAGGAGAACCTATTGTTATTATTAAATAAACTCTTATTTCTGTTCCCCCATTGTTCTATCTTCCTTTCGGTTGTTCCATTGTTCCTTCCTTTATCATTTTCTTTCTGATTAAAAAACTTCCTTTAGTAATCTTTAATGGTTGAGTATGCTAGCAACGAATCTTTTACCTTTCCGTCATCTAAGAATGTTTTATTTCCCTTTACCTCCTAAGCAACAGTTTCAACAGAAACAGAATTTGAGATTGACCTCTTATCCCACATCCTTCTGGCTCCCCTGATTTCAGATGAGAAATTTACTGTCATCTGAATTGGTATTCCCTATAGGCAATGCTTCATTTCTTTCTGCCTGCTTTTAAGATAGTTTCTTTGCCTTTATAATTTAATAGTTTAATTATGATGCATCTTAGCATGGATTTCACTGAGCTTTATCGTTTATGGGGCTTTCACAGCTCCTTATGTCTTCAGGTTGGTTTCTTTTGCCATTATTTCTTTCAAATACTCATTCTCCTTTTCCTCTAAAATTCTAATTATATGAATATTTGCTCCTTTTTTCTTTTTCTTTTCTTTTCTTTCTTTCTTTTTCTTTTCTTTTCTTTTTTTTTTCTTTCTTTTTTTTTTTTGTTGTTGTTGTTGTTTCAGGACAAGGGATTGCACTCAATGCCTCTTCGTGTGCTAGGCAAGCACTTCCACTGAACTATATACAGTGCTTTTTCATTTTATTTTGATACAGGATCTCACTACATTGCCCAGACTGGTCTTAAACTTATGATCCTCCTGCCTTAGTCTCTCTAGTAGTTAGGATTGCAAGCTTGAGCCACCAATATCTTCTTTCTTAAAAAATATTTTCAGGGGGCTGAGGTTGTGGCGCAGTGGTAGAGCACTTGCCTCGCATGTGTGAGGCACTGGGTTCAATCCTCAGCACCACATAAAAATAAATAAACAAAATAAAGGTATGTGTCCATCTACAACTAAAAAAAAAATTTAAAGATATTTTCATTGGACACAGAATTCTAACGTGACGTAAACACTGTTCTTTTCTTTCAGCGTTTGAAGAAGGCTGTGCCACTTCCTTCTAGCAACCATAGTTTGGTGTGAGAAATCTGTTGTCATTTGAATCACTTTGTCCATGTAATTAATGTGTCAGTATTTTCTCACTGACTTCAAAACTTTTTTTGTCATTAGTCTTCAGAAGTGGGACTCTGGTGTGTCTTGGCATTTGTTTCTTTGCATTTATACTATTTGGGGTTCACCTACACTATTGAATCCGTAGGTTCACTTCTCTTGCCAAATCTGGCACATGCCTATAATCCCAGCTATTCAGAGCCTGAGGTCAAAGGATCACAAGTTCAAGGCCAGTCTTAAAGTTCAACAATAAAATGGGAAGCTGGGAACGTAACTCAGGGGTAGAGAAACCCCCAGGTCAATCTGCAGTGCCACAAAAAAAAAAAAAAAAAAAAGAGGAAAAAAAAGAAACAGCTATAACAGAAATTATAACACAGGATATATACAAATTAAAAGTTTAAAAGACAAATGACTTGGGCTGGGATTGTGTGAGGCACTGAGTTCAATTCTCAGCACCACATAAAACTAAATAATTTTTTTAAAAAAGGTATTGTGTCCATCTACAACTAAAAAAAATTTTTGGAAAAATGACTTGATGCTATTGTAAACCAGAAGTGTATTCATTTAACATCTGTTAGTTTAATAACAAAGAAATTTATAAGTTAAATCAAAACCAACACTTAACTCTCCACTCCAAAATATCAAGTAAAAGATCTTTTTTAAAGACTTAAGACTTAAATCCCTCCTGCTTTCATTTTTAAAAATGTAAATTCCAGAAAGCATTTAATATAATGGTATCATCAGGACCAGTTGAAATTATTTGCCCATGAAAAAGCACTCACATCAGCTAGAACCAGCTCGAAGGAGAGCTAGGGAGCTAGGGAAGCCCTTCACTTACATTGATACCATTTGAGACAATAACATCAAGAGTGTCTATTCCACATTATAAGCAGTTCTTCTCTAATCCTCTGGACTGTCCATGTAGACACTAGACGGGTCTCTTTCCCTGGTAATACCCCTCATAGGTAGATGACTCCAATGCTTATGTGTGCCATGTACATATTCTGAGAGTACATCAAACTCAGTATGTACAAAATTTAACTTATCTCAAAATCAGCCTCTCCTGGGTCCCCAGGTCTGTTAATAATATCACTGAATCACTCAAGATAAGGATCTAGTTTTGTTTCCCTCACCATAATCCTCCCTCTTCCCAAGAGAAAACCAGTTTCAAAAAAAGACCTGTCCATTTTACCTCTGCAACACCACACAGCATCTAGCCCTGCCTCTAATCAGACTGCCTACCTCAGTCTTTCATACTGATGTCCCGATTCATGCTAACAGACTCTACTTAGAAACCCACTTAGCCTCTTATGCCCAGTAAGTCCACCTACTCTGAATATTACAGACAGATTGACTTTGCTACAAATGTCCCTTCCCACTCTGGGGATCCCACTGCCTACCACAGTGTCCCAAATTTTCAGAACTCTAAGGATCCTCATTGAACTCAATCAACCATTCACTTGATCTTGGAAGTACCTCATATTCAAAATGCCCTGGCCTCACCTTCAAAGCTATTCCTGCTCTAACTATAATCTAATAGCCCATAATATCACAAAAACAAAAGTGAACTATGCCATCACACAGTTCTGGAGCTAAAGGTCAAAATTCTCAACCTGACTAACAGGTCTCCACTAGGCCTGGCTCTGCAGTCTGTCTAGTCTTGTCATGCTCCCCTCTGCTCTCTCTGCTCCAGTCATCTTGTCACATTGCCATGATCCCACTCATCCCCAAGACTCTGGACATGGTGACCTCTCAGCACCCCACCCTTCAGGTAGTAGGACCACCTCACCCTTCAACTCTCATTTACCCAGCGACTAACCTCACCCCCTTCCAACTAACTCAGAGGT